ACACGAAATGCCCTCAAGTAGCGTCAACGATTCAGTCAACGACTTAGAGCCCATGATTTCAGATGATAGTCCGCGGCTCACTCCTGGGGAATTCAGAGTATTTAAAGAAATCAATGGCTTTAGCAGTTGATATTAAAAATACTTCAGGAGTTGTTGATGTCACTGACAAGGTCCACGATTTATGTTCCTTACAGACTATAAAAGATGTGCCCGGCTTCTCACGCGGCTGGCTGTCAGTCCGGTGTGCATGGAGGGCTAAGGTAAGCGGACCGCAGCCTCACGGGTGCACACACCACGGGCCCAAATCCCGTTTGGCACATGAAAAATTCATGGCAGTTCAGAAATACTCCTTCTTTGGCTTAAGTAGGCTTCCTTGGAGTAAGGTCGACCTGACACTCAGATGTGGGCCATCAGTGAAAGGCGTGGCTGCGAGCGACCCCCGGGAGCGCTGGGCGGGCAGAGCGCGCTCGCTGGAAACGCACCCCGTCCGTGGACTAATTTCAGCACATGACTTCATGCATAAACGAGGACACAGAGCTGAAATCATGCCTGTTCACTTTTAGGCACTCATTCACTCACACTCATAAATGAGTGTATGACTAACCACACCCGTGCAACCTTACAGACAGATCTGGCAAATGTGTGAGTTGGAATCTATCGTTATGCCGGAAGCTCATAAGGAACAGCCAAGAATAGCTCTTCTCGCTGTTTCTATCAGTTGCTTTCCCACAGCCTCCAGCGGTAAAACAGAAAAGCATACTGAGTTTAGGAACTAAATGTTCAGCCTCGGCCTCTTGAGCGCCGACGCGCACCAACAATCAGCCACACTGCCAGCCGGTGTCTCTTCCTGACACAAATGCGTGGACTTCAGGCACGAAACGGTCACTTCACAATCTCACACTGACGATGTGTCTGGTGTGTGCGGGGCACTGTGAGAGGCCACGTTTACCCCCACAGACAAGACCCGCTTCTGGTCCTCGGTGGCCGTTCCCGGGAGACCTACGGGCTGCCCGGAAACGTGAGCAGAGGGGACGTGATACCGTGCACAGGCCGTGGCTACCCCGTCCGCCTCGTGTGCGTGGGTGCGGGAGTCGTGTTCTTTCTGCACAGATGCTCGCTGCGGGAAAACCTGTGCCCATAAAGGTCTGGACAGTGCCCAGGGGGCCGAGCCAAACCATGGCCACCGTCTGGGCACGCAGGCACAGCCAGTGCCGTTGCCAGCACCGTCTTCTCCCCGTCAAAGTCCCACCGATAAGGACAGAAGCGTGTGGTTAGTGCAGGACCGTGAGACTGGATCCCTGCAGGTGCACAGAAGCTTGCACGGCCTTGTCACGTGGGGGAGGTAAAAGTATGGCTTTTCACGCCAGAGCTGAGAAGTGCTGTGCACTACCTTGACCTCCACCTTCACCTCCCATCAGAGTCCTGTCCGGTTTCTCTCACTGCCTACAAGGCATACAGAAGACCTCTTTCTAGAGCAAGGGCTGGATTCTCTTAAGTGTCTGAAGGTGACATGCTAGGGGAGATGGGAATGTCCTTTTTCCTAAGCCTGCCTTCATAGAGAGAGCACCATTTTCAGAGACAAACCAGGCATATCCTCGGAAAGGAACGTCCATTTGCTTACAGGAGGGAAGACCAATGCCCTGTGGTCCTTTCCGAAACAATTCCTGTCTTAACTGTCTCCAGCCAAAGAGACACTAGATTCCCAGCTTCTCCCCCAGTCAGACACACTCGGGACCTCTCACACGCACCACTTCATTGCCTAGACCTGCAGCTCAGTTAAGTTCAAAGGCTCAGGTAAGTTAGAAATGGAGTTCTGAGTAACAAGTAGCCAGTTCAGTCCACAAAATGCAGCTTAAGTCCAGTGACCCTGGAGCTTACCATGGTTTCTAATATTAACGAACAGTATACCAGTGGTTCGGGCATACTGCATGGAGCGTAGAAGAAAGGATTCATTCTTGGTGTTTAGTTTTGCAAATGCTCATGCAGACAGAGGCATAAGGGCCACTGAGTGGTTTCTCAGGACTGCCAGACAGCCCATCGCTGTGGCCCGAATCAGAGGACCCGCCAACACATGTCAGGACTGCGGACTGCTCCTCAGACTTGAGGAGGAACCAAGTAGTGAGTGTACGGTTGCCCCAGTGACGGTTTTCATTCCTTCAGCACAGCAGGCGTGTCCCAATGGTAGAACTTGGTCATTTCCACAGTAAGGCAGACGGCACTTTGGAACAGAGAGAAATACACATGCAGACTGTGATTGCTTGTGTTTTCAGACACATTATATGTCATTTGACGCACAGGTCTTCTAGAATTGATAAGAAAGTGTGGAGTTCTACGAAACAAATGTGATTTTCAGCAGTGAGCAGAGTTGCGGAGGACCGGGAGCCCACGGACCATGAGAAGTGCCTTGGAGACCAACAGGGAGCCGAACCTGCTGCCTTCACGAACATGTCCCCTGTGAACAAGAGATTTATTTTTGCAGACAGACTCTTCCATAGTCCCTTTAACTTGAGTTTTATATGTTGTCGACACTGTTGGCAGATGCGTACTCAGTAGATCAGCGTCCCTGACGGTAACTCCTGCCGTCCGTGCTGCTGGGGAGAAGTGAGGGCTCCACATCCAATGCGTAGTGCCATAACCGACAGACAAAGCTATTTCATCCTCCTCGGTAGGTGAATCTCAGAGTATTTCTTTAGAAACATAAACAGAATCTGAAACTATATTTTCATATAGCATTTGGTATGATTTAATATTTTTGTTACTTTTACAATTAAATTCCTAGAGTATTATTTGGAACTGCATGAAAAAAAAAAAAACCCACAAAAAAACTTGTGTTTTGGAGACCGTGGAGTTTAAGTCTGTGAACATATCCAGGCTAATTTCATTTGTCCTTTGTATCATAAATGTAAGATAGTATCCAGATGCTGTGCAATATGTAAATACTGTAAATAAAACAAGTAATAAACAAAGTGTTTGTGATAACCAAGTCTTCCAAGTGACTCTACTTCTAACAAGCTTACCAGTGGGAATTCATGACTTAACGGCCTGTAAAGAGATCCTAACACTGGCAGAACATCATGGAATATAAAAGGCATCAATCCCCTTCCCAATGAAAGGGGGAGGCTATGAGTTCTCGGAAGGGACAATTAAATTGGCGTTTTTTAAAAGGAGAGCTACTGTGTCACGGCGGCATGTCTTCAGACAGAGGCCAATACGGTGGTGAATATTTAAATGAAGCTGCCTCTGTATCTTCCTGTGTGACTCCGTGATCATGAATAAGCTAAGAGGTAAGACTTCTAAGCAGCTGATTTTTACAGGTGATACATTTTGGACAAATATGACTGCATTCCATTTACGACAGGTGAATTCAACACTGAGTTTCTCTGTCCACAGGACCTCTCGTCTGGACGCAGCTGCACGGCTAAAGCAGACACAACTCCCAGGAGAGGTCTGAGGTCGGTATTTGAGATACAGACGCGAACCGTTAAGGAAAACGGACTACGGGGATTTGTTCATGATCCTGAAGGGACGGAGTATGGGATTACCTTGAGATTACTAAGCAACTACTGAAGGACTGGGGCAGAGCTAACCCTGCCGTGCTCTTTCTTAGTCCTATTTTCTAATTACTTTATCTTTTCCACTCCATTCTTCACTTTTTAGAACACCATCACCAATTGCTCAATCCGTGTGACCTCTCCGGTTTCCCGCTCGTCTGCAGAGGTTTTCAGGTAGGACCGTCTTTGGGAAATCCCACAGGGAGCCAGACACACGTCCTGGAGGGGTGCTGACAAAGTCACCACAATCATCCTCCAGGACTTAATGCCCCCACCCCACCCCCCACACGGGACCCCCAGGTTCTGAGGACAGGCAGCCCCACAACACCCAGAAGCAGCCACCCGGATGGGGCAGCTGTTCCTCCAAAGTCCTCCTACTTCTGAGCAAGGATCCATTCAGGCTCTGGAGGACAATGGCCCACACCTGGGGTCCTCCCTGGACTCTGGGCCACCGGCTGGGACTGAGGGGGCAGACGGGGAGCACGGCAAGCTCTCATTCATCTAGCCGGGCCTCCCAGGAAGGCCCAGCCTGGACGGCCAGCTCCAAGGAGGAGACTGCCACACTCCCCAGATGGTGGGGTCAGCCAAGGACATGTGTATGGCTGCAGGGGCCTCAAACTTCTTTCACGAAGAAGCAGAAGCAATGGACCTTTGTCCTTTGACTCCCTAACACTGAAGACAAACATACACACAGAACCTCACAAGTCATCTGAAAGGGACAAGACAGCCACTGTTTTCCAATTCTTCACTTATCAATAAGAAAGCAGGCAGACACCATACTTCTTAGTTGCATTTTTATAATTTCCCCAGTTTATTTTGAAAACAATCTTTTCTGCCATATAGCCATAGGAATTCTAGATCAGTTATCTCAAGTGCATAGAAATTACCTATTTGTCTGTAAGCACTGATGAGAGAACACTTAATGTCTCGATATTTAAGCATCCCAACATAAAAAGAACTTTTCCCAGCTTTTTAACTATTTTTTCCCACCTAAGCTAATCTATATTTGACGTTTGGGTTCCATAGGCATGAAAAGCAGACACGTTCCTCAAACTGACAGTAAGACAGGCCAGCATACAGTTTCCTTCTTTCTGGCTGTAAACTTCCAGGGGCAAAACGTTCGAATGCACTCAAGCTGGCGTCCTGATGAGACAGACTGGCCGGCAGGGAAGCCTCCGCAGATGGACACTGCGACTGCTCCACTGTGAGCAACGGCGAGTCTTGGCGGGGAGCTGCGCACAGGCTCCTGGGGCTGGCCTGGGCAGACAGTGGAGGCCACGGTCCCCGTCGGTCGTGCACGATGAACCCAAGGAAGAGGTGGGGCTCGTGTGCCAGAAGGGACGCGGGGTACCCTCATGCTCTGGTGCCTGTTCTGTTTGTTCCACTATTTTTGAAACTGGGACAAAGTGGGAGGTTCAACGGGTCTAAGAACACTTCACGTACCCCATAAACTGTCTGCATGAAACATTTTTATTTATTTGTCTGTCAAATACAGTAACTGATTTCCATCTACAATGGCTTAAGGTAAGAAACCGAGGGTCGAATGAAGGAGACACGCGGCCTTACAGGAGAGCCTGCGGGGCCCAGCGGGGCACGAGGGGAGCACGGGCAGGGCCTTAGCGGGCCTTCTCCAGGAAGGCCTTGCAGCACCTCACACACTGCTGGTAGACAGTCTCGAAGTCGGACTCATTCCCCTGAAAGCACAGGGGAAGAAGAAAGAAAAACCCGCATAACCCAATGCCCTCTGGAGAACCGGAATCTGCCGCTGCAGGAGGCAGGACACACAGCAAGTCCCCACACTGCTGCTCGCATCATGCCAGACCTGAGGTGAGAGGTGTACTTACATAATAGGGGTCTTCAATAATGAGTTGGTTTTGTGGATCATAGCTCCCAAGCAGCTCAATTTTAGCTTTGCAGTTTTTAATTTGATTACTTTTTCTATTCAAGTCTCTGTAAAATTGAAACATGAACTTAGTTTTCTGATCGACGGTTTCAAGTTCAACAGGGACATCTGCTAGGGTTTTATGAAACAGCCGTATCAGAATCCGGCAAGAGTGACCTGATTTTCAGAGGAAACCAAACCCCGGCGGACCTGCGTGACTCTTGCACCACAGGTTTCCGAGACCAGCAAGAGGGTCTGTAATGGTGGCATGTTCTCATGCTTTTACCCAAAATGCGCATCCCTCAGTCAGACCAGTCTACCTTCCTGCGGAATGCACACTGAGACGGTGACATCAGAAAGCTCCTATTCAAGACATTAGACAAAGCTGGCAGGACGGGACTCAAAGAGCCACGTGCGGTAAGTCCCAGAGGGCTGCCAGTCCCATCCCAAGGCGTCCTGACACTGCATTTGGCACAAGCCTCCCTGTGCCACCGCATACCCCTCCAGCCTCTGCCCGACCGAGCTGAGGGCGCAGCTCCTGCCCTTCACCCTGTCCCCCGCACTCGCTCGGCCGTGAGGAGAGCACCAAGCTCCTCGGCTGCCAAACCTCCGCGGAGCACCTAGGACCCGTCAGACGCTGCTGGTGCGCGGGGAAGGCTGGCCAGGCCTCCGAGCTCCAGCACGCGTCCCCCCAGCCACCGAGGCAGACGTGTGGACTCCAGCCGCTCTGCACGGAGACCCTGCTCGGGACGCCCTCCCACCCTGGAGACCCTGCTAACAGAGGCCCCTGCTGACATTCCCTGCATGTGAGAAAAGTGAGGACGAGACAAACCAACAACTGAAAAACAAGAATAGAAATATAATAAATATAAATATAGAAAATGCATGTATTTTGGTGACGTTCCTGATTCACAAAAGCAGAAGTGGAGCTGTACACTCCTACAAAGGCAGTTAAAAGCAGAAACAGTTTCTATTCATAAAACGCATGGAGTCTGTGAATTAGCATGGATTCGGTGAAATCCCTGCAGTCACACCGGGGCACGTCCCGGGCCTCCTCTGTGCCGGCAGAGCGTAACCAGCCAGCAGGCAGGCAGCCGTCTTGCTTCCCAGCACAGCAGACCATACATGGCCGTGTGACAAAGGGACGCGGGGCCGCAGCCTTCCAACCGGAACCGCTTCATACGTTCTCTCGGGTCTCACCCACAACAGCCCTAACCTGCCGCACACACCGCGTCTGCTGGCTCCTGGCACGATCACATGGTGCCACACTGTCAGGGGCAGTTCTGGGCTAACGCAAGGAGCCCACGCCAGAATGCACACGTCAAGGGTAGGCAGCATCAGCAAGTCCTCATCCGTGGGTCCCCATGTCTGGCGCTGTGCCAGGCACACAAAGCTCACTCAAGAAATGCCACCAAGCTCCTTGTCGCCCAAATGCACGTCCCCATGCGAGGTGACAGTGAGATGCACAGCAGGCTCTGCCTCACAGAGCCGAGGCTAAAATTCTCCCACACCAATCTGCTCCACGTGTAACGTGACCTCTCGTGCCTCTCTGATAAGCTGCGGAACAAGGGTTAAGTGCTCTGGTGTGCAGAGCACCTGATACAGGCCACGGCACAGTCAGCCTGTTACCTAAGAGCCCGGCCTGTTTGGGTTTGTTTTTATATCCATGAACGCAAGCAATAATTCAGAGCGTCAAAAGCTTCCCTTTTTGCCCGTCCTCCTTTTTGGGGCTGGGGGCAGCAGTAACAGGGGATCCCACGAGAGACAACAGAACACCACAGGCCCAGGAATCACTGCGTCGCTCTCCTGTACAACCAACCCCAGCTTCCAGGAAGCTGCTCACAGCCCGGCCGGTCCCCGGGCTGCACCGGCTCACTGGGATCCCCCTCCCCTGAAAGCGTGTCTGCTGCTGGGAGACAGTTCTCAGCCCCTCGCTGGTTTCTTACTACTCTAAACACGTAATCTGTGTGTTGTGACCATCACTACTTTTAAAACTCCAAGATAATAAAAAAGTCATTTTGACAACAAACAACCGGCCCTTTACTGAACTGGGAGTCGCTCAGAAGTACCCTTCAAACATGTGATTACCTCAGATTGCTTTCATCCATACACAGTATGTAATCGAATGTGGCAAAGTCTTCCTTGGTAACCTAAAATTAAACAGAAGTCAAAAACACAGTGTTTATATTTATAACAACCAAACCTAGAGGATCCAAAGCAGTAAACACAAAAAATCTGCTCTATTTGAACCTGTTAACTGACTTAAGTTAAATAATTTAGGGTATTTTAAAGTTAAAATAGAGTTAACCTATTTTGTGACACTGTATTGCAAAAAACTTTAATTATTAAGCTCCTTGGAATAACCCTAACAGCATAATATGCAAACACAAAGTTTATACTCCCCCGCAATTTCTTAGTAACAAAGTTTAATTCACTTAACATACTAAACTGTCACACGTTTAACCCCCTTCACTGTTTTACCCCGTTTTTCACTCTGCTTTCACTTCTGCAAGAAGGTAACATCCTAGCCCCAGTGAAAAACACCCAATCAACGAGCCGGGGGGCTGTCCCTGGAGGCCTCCCCCCAGCGCAGGGCAGGCAACACCGGGCACGGCCATGTGAAGAGCTCTGGGGGAGACGGGAAACGAAAATGTGAAGCAGGGTGTTCACAGAAGAGTCCCCGAGAAGGAAACAGGCAAGGGCCTGGACGCGTTCTTCCCTCCCCTGAGCACGCACAGTCTGAACACGACACAGGAGAAAAGGCCACTCAGTAAAAATACTGATTCGGTCAGTTTGTTGACATCACAATTCATCAACATAAGCCCACTAAAATGTTAAGTAGAGAGATTACTTGATGATTTCTGCCTTCATAAATACGGGCAGAATTAGAAAGAAAGGACCACAGACAGGCCACATAATGAAGGTGGAAATAATTTCTAACAATGTAATTTTCAGTAATAACCTTCCCCACTAAAAAAATCATCTAAAATATAGGAGTGCCAGGAAACTACAAAGGAGATATTGAAACCTTTTTTTCAAAGATTTTATTTAAATTTATATATTATATTTATTATATTTATATTATATTATATATGTATATATATATTATATATATAATATATATATTATATATATTATATTTATATGTCTGACAGAGAGACGCAGCTAGAGAAGAAACACAAGCAGGACACCTGGGTGGCTCAGTGGGTTAAGCCTCTGCCTTCAGCTCAGGTCATGATCCCAGAGTCCTCAGATCGAGCCCCGCATCGGGCTCTCTGCTCAGCAGGGAGCCTGCTTCCTCCTCTCTCTCTGCCTGCCTCTCTGCCTACTTGTGATCTCTCTCTGTCAAATAAATAAATAAAATCTTTAAAAAAATATATTAAAAAGAAAAGGTTACTTGCAATACAGAGTAGGAAAAGAAAAATAGCCATAAACTTTTATTACTCTGTTCCAGTCCACTGGTCAGCCTGACATTTTGAATGGATCCTTTACTCACGAACAATTTTGACCTCCTGGATACTTGGAGAATTTGAGGGCAGTGATTCTCAAAGAGGGGGCAGTTGGCAATGCCTGGAGACATCTCTGGTTGCTATGATGGGGAGCAAAGGGGTGCTCCGCATCCAGGGGACAGAGACAGGGGATGCTGCCAAACATCGCACAGGGCCCAGGACGGCCCCACAACAGAGAACCACCAGATGCAGGGTCAGCGGTGCTAAGGCCAAGCGCCTGCTCCAGACGCTAAGAAGCCTGGGCACGGGGCCACTGCTGGAAAAGAGAAGCTCCAGGGACCAGGCAGCAACTCCAAAGGCCGGGGAGGAAAGCAGGACAGAGAGCCTGACACTCCCAAGCTTTCTTCTCAAACCATTTGCCAAGTTCTCGAACTACTCGGGGCAAAAACGAAGAGGCCACGGGGAGGCTGCGGCAAGGCAGAGAGGGAGCAGCCCCCGAGGAGGAGGAGCCCTGCTGACGGCACATGGGGCTGGGCGGGGGGTGGGGGGTGGGGATTCCCATGCAGGGGTCCTGGAAGACCCCGCCCAGGAGGGGGAACAGCCCAGCACCATGGATGCCCCACAGAGCCAGGGCCAGCAGGTGGAAAGGAGGGAAAATGGAGAAGATAGCATCAGAAATTTATGTCCAAGCTACAGAGAAGCTGAATCTCTGAAGAGAGAATGAGGAGGAAAATACAAAAAGAAAACAACACAGACTTTTCCAAAACTGATGGAAACTATCAGGGCGCAAATTGAGGATGCATCCTTGGGCTTCCCACAGTAAAGCTGCTGGGAAAAGATAAGAAAAAGAATCCAAAAGAAAAATGTAAAGACAGCAGAGAAAATAAGGGCAATTTCAAGGAACAGCAACACCTGATTCAATGACCCTGCACAGCCATTAAAGCAGAAATACCGTCCGTAATCAACAAACTTTTTAAGAGAACAAAGAGGGAAATTTGTGACTGGTTTTATGAGGCCAAACACCCCACAGCTGTGACACAGGTGTGCGTCCAACAGAGCTGCACGCAGGTGCACCCGCCAAGGCTCTCGCCCAAACAAGCAGCAGCGCAGTGTCCACCGGGCGTGGCACGGGTGCGCCCGCGGCGGCCGGCCTGGAGCAAGGTACTGAGAGCAGCTTCAGGGCAGGGGCTCCAAGACGGCCACGGAGCCTCGGAGAAAAGCCAACAGAAAGAGTCACACACAAGGATTCCAAGGCCACAAACTAAAAAGGCAGAAAGAATGTGAGTAGTGACCTCTGGAGAGGAGGGAGCGCGACTGGTCCAAGTACCCACTGCGGACACGCGCAGGTGTCAAAGGTTTGTGGAAAAGAAGGCGGTGTAACAAGTGGACGTCTCCACAGAACCAACTGGCTGCAGACCCCAAAACCCCCGAAGCGCCCTGAACCTATTGTGTTTATTAAACCCAGGCTGGAAGTATTAGGAAAATCAAAATTTTAAGAAATGTAACAGAATAGTTCCCTTACAAATGCTGACAACCGCTAAAGAGAAAGCCTGCATGGGCCCCTGGGGGGACTCGGTTAGTTAAGTGTCTGCCTTCAGCTCAGGTCATGATCTCAGGGTCCTGGGATCGAGTCCCGCATCGGGCTCTCTGCTCAGCAGGGAGCCTGCTTCCTCCTCTCTCTCTGCCTACCTGTGTGTGATCTCTGTCAAATAAATAAAATCTTTTAAGAAAATATGATACTAATTTACAAAACATACCTTACCAGTGTTTTTTTTTTTTTTTTAAGATTTTATTTATTTATTTGACAGAGAGATCACAAGTAGGCAGAGAGGCAGGCAGAGAGACAGAGAGGAGAGCAGGCTTCTGGCGAGCAGAGAGCCCAATGCAGGGCTCGATCCCAAGACCCTGAGATCATGACCTGAGCTGAAGGCAGAGGCTTAACCCACTGAGCCACCCGGGCGCCCCACCTTACCAGTGTTTTGGAGGGGAAAAAAAAAAAAAAAAAAAAAAAAAAAAAAAAAAAAAAACACTGAGAAATTTTTCTTAAAAGGAACAGGGAAAAAGGGAAAGAAACAGATTGTGTGGGACTATTCTAAAACCAACAACTACAACTGATCTCTAAAAATGAGAAGTTTCTAGCTTAAGACATGTGTATTTAAAATATTTCATTTTTACCCAAATTATGTACTTCTGTACAAAAAACAATGTGATCCTAAAAACAGAAAACATGAAAGTGTGACTGCGTGAACATGCACTACTGAGCATGAGTTCGCAGTCTCTAGCACACAGGAAGTGGAAATGGACAAGGTGAGCAGATCCTGGAGATGAGGACACGTGACCTACAAAATGTGTACTAGTCCGTCCAATGAAGATTCGATGCTGAAACAGGTCTGGCCTCAAGGCAGTTAACTTAGTTGTTAACATTCAGTCATCTGACAGGCAGAAATGAGCAGCTCACAGATTCCAGAGTAAATTTATCTAAGCCAAAATAGCATGTGTGTCACTAGCTTCTGAGACACTGTTAACGCATCCGAAGTGTTTCGGTGGCACTTTTGTGAACTTCCTGGCTCACATCTATATATGTGTTTGTTAAAACAAAGAAGCCTATGGTCAAATCCCAGTTTTATGCCTCTGAAGATGGGTGACGTTTGATAATTTATACATTTTCGTTCCAGAACTGTTCCTCCATGTGCGTAACAGGGTCACCAACTACTCCCTTCCCTAACAAGGTCATGGAGGACAGAGACTGAGACGCTCAGAAGCACAAGGCAAAGCAGTGTGAGGGGCTCTCGGTGAAGACACGGTCGGAGGTAACGACAGCCCGTCTTTGTCCCTCCTCCACAAAGTTCTCGTGCGAACACTAAAACTGCACTGGAGCTCGCACGCCGCAGCCGTACCGCTGACCAGGTACGTATCTGACCACGGACTTCCAAGGCAGCCGGCAGAGTCTCAGCGTAAAGGCCTCTCATCCCCGGACACAGCCTGTTGCTTCTGATACCGACCCGCAGCCTTGCTTGGTCCTCACACCTGCCTATTTTGTGAGGCTGGACACAAAAGAAGTTAAAAGACTCTAACTTCTAACTCTAACTCTTTTAAAAATTTTTTTGAAGATTTATTTTAGAGAGTGAGCGAATGAGAGAAGAGGCAGAGGAAGAGAAAGAGGGAGAGGAGCGGACTCCTGCTGAGTGGGGAGTCTGACGTGGGGCTCGATCTCATGGCCTCAAGATCACGACTTGAGCGGAAATCAAGAGCTGGACGCTTAACTGGGCTACCAGGCGCCCCGGCCGGGATTTGTAAACATCCGGCTGAGTGTCCACAAAGTCGTGAGAGTGATAAACGTAACCTTCCTCACATGACAGCCCACGAAGCACCCTGTGTCAGAAACGAAGCACATCCCTTCAGCAGCCAGCCCCTGTGGTGATGGGAGAGGCCAGAGCGCGCACCTGGCTCTGGCGGCACGCTCCGAGCGATGGGGCTCTGGGGCCTGCCCTGAGCTCTGGTGTCCCACGGAGGCTGCGGGGGCACAACCCTCACGCTCCCCCCGGCCGCTGCGTGTGACTCTTGGAACCACGCGGCCCACTGGGCGCTTACCAGGTCCAGGCAGCTACTTGAGTAAGTTAACATGTGAACTTCAGTCCCTCCGCCACACGGGCCGCACCGCAAACACAGCAGAGCCACTAGCGGCTTCCACACTGAACGGAGCAGACCCAGCACACCTGCCTTATCCCACAATGTCCCACTGCACAGCACGTCAGAATCTGAGCCCAGAAGTCCTACTGCTGGCCTGCAGGACATGCGTCCCTAATGAGACCAGGACTACCCTGTGCTCCTAAGTCACTGGACAGTTGAAAATACACTTACTCTAGCAACAAACTTGTACCATAAGCAGACTAGTTACCAGGGCTTAAATGTTTCAGTCGCACAGACAGAAACGAAAAAAGAAGACTGTAACTCAGATCTCTAGGTCCTCAGCAGGGCTCTCACCAGGATCACTTATGTGATTCTAAATGCATTTTAGCCTTTCTCTTTCCGCCACCTTGGGGCCTAGGGGGGCCTGCTGGGGACAGCGCTCCTGAAACGCCGAGTATGTCCGGAAGGCTGTGGTCCAAGGCCACTTTTGCTGGCTCTAAGTGGGGTCTCCAGAACTAGCGGGAGCACACAACTCTTCTGAAAATGGAAGGCGTTTATGCTCAAGATGAAAGTGAATTCTAGATGGCAAGAGATGTGCTTCCGTGTACAGCGCAAACAAAACCACAGTAATCGGGGAAGAGTGACTGGAGCTCAAGGGAACAGTGGCTCCGGTCAAAGTGGCCCAGAATCCATGGGATGCTGAACCCCCAAGGATTTAAGCTTAATGAAAAGAAAATAAAGGTGTACATTTGTTCTCTTGTGTTGTTGTTTAACAACACAACACTGTGAAACCAGCAATGAAACAAAACGGGGAACCCGGGGCTACGTCAACGGACCCAGAATAAACACTCATCAGCACGTCAGTGTGGCTGAGCTCACGAGTTCTCAAATTAGGGGACTCCAGGATTAGGAAGTAAACGAGATCTCTTCTACCTGTCTTGCCTTATGGGCCGTGTTAATGCCATGATTTCTGAGGCAGCTCAGAGTTCTTGGATCTGGTGACCGGCCCGCGTTCCAGTCAGAAACAGCGCCGCTGTCAACGACCCACTGCAACACAGAACACACACGGCAGCTTCAAGTCCCCGCACGGTACCTGCCGGGCAGTGTGACTCATGGGGATGCCATGCTTCTTCATGCAACTCTGCCCTCGGTAATCAGGAGGGTTTCCTATTTCATACGTGGATGTCGCTGCACTGTCTATCCTCCACTGCAGGAGAAAAGAAGAATTTTTTTCGCAATTTCCTGCCACAAAGGCAGCCGGGTTGGCCTCTTTAACATGGAGAGTGGTACTTACATGATCTGAAAGCTTTCGGTCAGTTACGAGTTTTCTGAACACTGCTTCCGCAATGGGTGACCGACAGATGTTCCCTTGAAAAGAGGGGAAGGCAGAGAGTGGGCATCAGGTCTGACGCTAGGGCAAATCCCAGCAACCACTTCACCCACGTGACACATAGCAACAGCACCTCCCTACGGGGAGCCGGTCAGCTTCCCACCAGCGCGTGCACGGCAGGACCCCTGGGAAACCGCTGGCCAAACCCCAGCCGCAGGACTTGACACCCGCTGCCCATGTATTCAAAGTACGAAAACCAGGAGGTAAAAAATCAATGACAACTGCAGTCACTGTTCTTTAGGTTGCTCTCAGTGACCCAGAAGTAACTCACGAAATCAATGAAGTGGGTTGCAATGAACCTATTTTAAAATGAAATACAACAGGGTTAAAATATGTATTTTCAAGTAAATTACCATAAGGATTAATACTGTTTCATAAAATACACAAACACACACATTTCAGGATGCAGCCTGTTGGGAGTCGGCCGGCTGTATTAAGGGTGCTGCCCTCCAGGTCACCAAGTCTGCCCAGAACTTCCGACATCGGCTACAAGTTCAGGGAATCCCCAGGACCACCCTCACTTCAGAGCAGCTGGCTACGGATCCGTGGGCCCCCACACATTCAGTAATTCTCTAGAAGAACATATAAAACTCAGGAAAATGCTAGACTTAGGATTACAGTTTTATCATAACAAAGAGATTCAAAGCAGATAGGGCAGATTCTGGAAGAGTTTTGAACCTGAAGCTCTTTGGTCCTCAAAGACACATGTCACCCTCGTCATCCAACAGGGACAGTACTCAGGGTATTGTCAATCCAGGAGGCTCCCCAGAGCCCCAGTGCCAAGGGTTCATTGAGCTTCCTTAGGCAGGCGTGAGTGAGGGAATGATGGGTCTGCAGCCGAACTAACTCTCCAGCTCCCCTGTCCCCAGCGTGGGGCTCACAGACCCCACCCTGCCTCACCCTCCACGCATGAGCTATGTACAGACCTCCTGGAGTAACAAAACACTCCCATTACCCTAAGGAATCATGCTAAAAGCAGAAACAAGGTAATGAGAAAATTCCTCATCAGAAAAAAAGGGAAGATTGGACTTGATCTCTTAGGGAGAGGATTTTGCTGGACATTTAAGTTAGGGGGTTGTAGGAATAAGCAATGACTGTGTGCTGGTGGGTCTGGGTTAGAGGAACTGTTACTGGGCCCAGAACGTGCACTCAGAGGGCCCAGGGGGAAGGGAATGTCCAGCACTGGGCAGGACGGCGCAGAAGCCCAGCACAGGGCAAGGTCTGAAGAGACCACAAGGTAGGGTCACTGTAGGGCTGGAGAGCCTGGAATCACAGGGGGAGACAGCCTACAGAGGCCGACACAACACCAGGAAGAGACGCGAGCTGAGTTAAGACACGGGTCACTCTTGACTCACGCTAGAATCTTGGGGCTTCTGATACGCATGTGGAACTGGGTCTCCCGCCGGGCTGAGACCCAGCTGACGCGCTGTTTCATGAACCCGACGCTGACTCTACTGCTCTCCTCTTCCGCTTCCACGTTAGTTTTGGGCCTTATAAAGTATCTATAAAGGACTTTTCTTCCCCACAGAGACTGTGGTTTCCACAGCAGTGAGTCTATCAACCACTCAACCACGAAACGGACGGGAATTAATCCCCAACGTCCTCTATAAGCTCGTTTGTATTGTCAAGTTTCTTCCTACCACATTCTGAATTTCTGTTTAGTTTTTAAAATAAGTATTATCATCCCCACTATGTTAATTACTGAAAGGCTCCAACAGATGTGTAACTCTTTTATCTGTCGCCATACACCCTGGGAATACTTTTATCTGCAACCACTCTGTTCAGTTTAAGACAACGGTTATTATTTTACTTTTTTTTTTTTTAAGATTTTATTTATCTGACAGAGCGAGATCACAAGTAGTCAGAGAGACAGGCAGAGAGAGAGGAGGAAGCAGGCTCCCTGCGGAGCAGAGAGCCCGACGCGGGGCTCAATCCCAGGACCCTGAGATCATGACCTGAGCTGAAGGCAGAGGCTTTAACCCACCGAGCCCCCCAGGTGCCCTGCGGTTATTATTTTAAAACTCCAGAATAAACACTTACAATCTCACACCTAAAGATATAATAAAACTAGTCTCATTCCTTTAAAAATAATTAACTGCAAAATAACAGCTTTCCCCACAAAACAAAAACTAGGTTTATTTACGCCTTAAAGTCAAGGCATATTCATTCAGATAAATATTTTTTCCCAGATAGTTATACCTACAGCAAGATGTATGTTTAAGTAGAGATGGAAAAAAAAAAATTACTACTATAAAAACTAGAAGTGATACTACTTATAAAATAAGCAGAATCCTCCTTCCTTGTAACTTGATCTCTTGTTTTCAAAAGTTGGTATCACCAAATTAATGCACTATTTAAAAACAGAGCTCACAGTAAAACACAGTAATTCAGTTTCCACCTTTGGGAAAGTTCTAAAACCTTAAAACGTCATCTTCAGATTTCTTTAGAAAAAAGCTCAATCTGTTAAGTCTGTTTGTTTCTTCCGTATCAGGCAGCCTGATACGTACTCAGTACCTGAGCCTCACAAAGGGAAAAAACGAAATTCTCCAAGGGCAGGGGCTGTGTCTCTTACCCCACAATGTGCAGCACATTTGCAGCATCGGTAAGTACCAGGTGACCTGGCAGCACTCACGGTTACCACGTCCAACCGCGCTGGCTGTGCCACAGACACCAGAGCCTTCAACAGGTCAGTGCGTCTCTACGGTACAACCATGGCACGCTTCCAGCGATCTTGCCAAAATAAGGAGTGCAGCTCTTTCCTGCCACTAGCCCTACCGAAGGAAAATATCTGAAACTCCTCTCTACTCTTCAGTGTGAAAAGAGCCCAAATAAATGCTTTGAAGGAATAACTTTTTTTTTCATTTCAAAAATACACCCTTCTTACTGCTCTCTGTGTCTACAGGGTATCGTAAGAAACGGCATTCATGGACCCCTCACACCTGCCCAACATGGGACTACTCAGCACTTCCACCAGAGATGCCCTCTCGGACCCAGCACACCTCCTCTGCTCCCCAGCCTCACCCCTGGGGCCTCACCCCTGCCCTCTCTAATCTCAACATAGCAGCTGAACAAGTCTTTCTGAGTGCCCCCACCCCCCCCCTCAGTGGCTTCATCCCCTGGCGGTTTATCTCCTTCTTGGTACGCCCAAGCCTTCGTGGGGACTCACCAGACATGTCCTCCACGGGCCCTAGAACAGCATCTGGAAACCATGATGCACGCTCACCACCTCTGGGTACGGCCCACAGAAACAAAAATGATTCTTACCTTCCAAACAGTTGAAAAAACGTACAAGTAGAAGAACATCTTGTGACATGAGAAAATCCCACAGAATTCAAACTGCAGCGCCCACACGTGAAGTCTACCCGGACAGTCACGAGGGACTGTTTAGGTTTAGTCTAGGTCTGCTTCCGCAAAGCACCAAACACTTACTTCCTAGTTCTTTGCACAAGGAGTGCACAGACTCCTGCCCCAGAGCGTTCGTTTTTACGTAAGGAAGGAGCTTCCCTATGTACCCAGAACAGTTCTAGTTATGTATTTACGGTGGCATCGACAAAACGGTCACTCAAACTACCTTCGGGTTCGGGTACGAAGAAAGGTCCGGCTGAAAAAGGCTACCGGGTCTCTAGGCCAGGCCACAGCAGTTTCCCTGCCAATATGAAGCAGATCAGCACTCTCATTCAAAACCGTTCACCCGCGTTCTTCTGAGTCCTGGACACTTTTCCAAAAACCCGAGGCTTGCTTTCTCAACTCTCAAGTCTTTGCCCAAATGTCGCCTGGTAGGTAAGGCCATCCCTGACCGCTCTACTTAAAAGTGCGTTCCACTCCCACTCCCTTCCCTGCTCTACTGTTCGAGACACACCACCAGCTTAGTGAGTAACCAAGGGCTCGGCTGTGGGAGACAGATCATGAGCTGTGGGAGGCAGGAACTCCTGTTGGGCTCACTACCCATCCCCAGCACTCAGAAGAGTACCTGGTAATACAGCAGTTGCTTAAAAAGAAAAAAATGGTGCGGAAGATAAATACACATTATACACGGTACACATCCCCATTAACAACCACCACGAGCATTACGTCCGCATAAACGACAACACTAAGTAAAACAAACAAGGCAATGGACTCCTGCTAGACGCCCAACATGAGCTGAACAGCCACTTAACCGATCTGTTGATCCCGGGAGTCAGTCTTCAGTGGAGAGCTTAAAAATCCATTGATGCCCACCACCAAAGTGAAGCGAGGTGGCCCTTTTTCTTTTTCCCCTGACAAAAATTCAATTCTGCAAATACCTACTTGTCGTCACAAATTGTCTTCAAGCTGGAAATGCAGAAAAATAAGCCACAGTTACTGCCCTCAAGAGGGCTAAACCCAGGTGTGATCCCACGAGGCTATCAAGTAATGTAACAAAAGTCACATAATGAAAGGGGTCTAGAAAGGGTTATAGGTGAACTACTTCCACTCAGAGGATCTGGGAAAAGCAAAGAAGAGAGTATTTGGCTCTAACCCTACGGAAAGTCTTCCCGAGGAAAACGCAATACGGGTGCCCAGAAACAACTACACAGAGGTGCGTTAAGCCCCCGAACTGCTGCGACACAGAAATCACAAGGCGCGGGCAGGGAAGGGTAGTGGAGAGGAAGCGTCAACAGATGGGCACACTCGCGTCCTCTTCTCCAAGGGGCCAGCACAGAAAGGAAGGGACACTTGGGTGCACGGGAAATGCAGCCTCATCAGAAGACATTAAGGAACTGGACTACTGATGACCCAGGCCTTCCTCTCCGGAGCTCAAGGGGACAGGGCGCAAACACTGAGAAGTACAACCCCGCGGCGCCACTGCAAAGAGAATCCCGAACCCGAAGGGAAAGTGAGTTCTAATGTGGACGGCGGCACGCGTCCCGTGACACAGACACCTGGAGAATCGGGTCTCCCTGGATCGGCTTTTACAGCCGAGAGATCCAGACTCCTCGCCGTCCCGGCTGCCGGAGCTCACGCCGTCTGCAGGCAGGGATCAAGTGAACGAGCCAGCGAGCCCGGGCTGCCATGGGTCTGGGGTCACGCGCCGGCCCCGCGGCCTCGGTCCGCTCGAGGAAGGAGAAACAGGGTGCTCGGCGGGTGCAGTGCGAAGGACCACGGCTTGCGGGATCGGAGCCGCGGCTGAGGGCGGCGAGGTGAGCAGGCTGCGGTGACCGGGACCCCCCCGCGGGCTGCGGTGACGGGGACCCGCCTGCACAGGACTGCGCCGCTGAGGGGCACCGGCTCGGACGGGGCCGAGCGGGTGAGAGGATCCCCGCCCGCAAACGGGCAGGGGAGGGAGAAGATCGCCCGGCTCGGCCCGGCTCGGAGGGCCGCCGGCAGGTGCGCGGGGCGGGGAGAGCCGGGGCGCTCCATCCCACCCTCCGGTTTCCCCGTCCCAGGCCTCCTCCCGATCACCGTCCCTGGCCCAGCGGCGCAGCCCAAGACCCATGAGACACGGCCCGAGCGTCTGGGGAAGCCGGAGCGGGGCTAGGCCAGCGCGGTCTCACCCAGACACACGAACAGCACCGACTTCGGCACCGGCTCAGCCATCTTCCCGCGCGCACACCCAGGCGCCCACGGAGCGCGTCGGCACGTTTCCTGCGCGACGCAAGCGCACCTCGAGCGACCCGCCCCCGCGCCTGCGCAGTACGGCCTCCGCGCTTCCTCGGGGCGCGCGTCCGGGCCTTGCGCCTGCGCAGTACTGAGGCTGGGGGGACCGCGGTCCTCAGGAGGACCCAAGGGGCGCCCCGGGGGAGGGGCGGTTTAGGGGCGGGGCAAAGGTTCGGGGGTGGGAGGAGGGGCCTTGGAGAGATGGAGGGTCTTCCAGGAGAGGGTCGGATTGGGGGCGGGGCCGTGAGTCACCTGGAAGGGGGCGGGCCCAGTGGGGGTTGGACTCGGGTCACCTGAGGGCGGGGGAGGGCGCCGGGAGCCCGCGGTGGGGGTGCGCAGGGCTGCTGACCTGTCCCCGAGGGCAGGCCCCCGGGCGGATGCCCGAGGGTCAGGACTGTCCCCCGTCGCCCCACACCGCGAGCCGGGGGTGAGCGGAGCCCGCCCGCGCCCCGAGAGCCCCGCTGGCCCCCCGCCCGCAGCTGTCCGCTCGGGGCGGCGTCGGCCCGCCTGGGCCCAGTTCCGTGACGCGCGCTCAGGGCCGGACTGCGTCGCCTCACCCGCCCCCTCACCTGCCCAGGTGCGCCCCGCCCGCGCCGCCCTGCCCCGGGGGGGCGGGCCCAGCGCGCAGCCCTTCCTGTCGGCGGCGGTTGTGCGCGGTCGGGGCGCCGAGGGCACCGGTCCGGGGTCGCCAGTGAGTACGGGTGTGGGCGAGGCCGGCGGCTCCCTGGACTGGGGTCGCCCCTTCCCCCTGGAGCCGGGCCCCGGGGCCGGCGGTCGGCGCGAGAGGGCGGGGGCCGGGATGCGTCTGGGACGCGCGTCCGCTCGCAGGTCGCCCCGGACGGGAGTGACCGGCCCCCGCCCCGGACGCGACCGCTGCGGCTCACGGACTTGACTCTCGCTCGTGACCGTCGATGTCCGAGACCGTCTTTCCCCGTCGGTTTCGGGGAGGGACGCGGCGAGGCGGGCGCGCCGGACCGCGGGCGGGGACCGACCAGGCCGTGGGGGACCCCTGGGAGTGGGCAGCCTCCGGGGGCACAAGGGGCGGGCGGGGTGGCCGCTCGGGCGCCCGGGACGGCGGGACTGTCGGTGCTGCGGCGCCTTCTCCGGGCTGGAACGCGCGACGGGCGCGCGGGGACGGGGGTGGCCGCCGGGACATGAGGCGCACCTGCCGCCGCGGACGTTTCTCTTCGTTTCCACACGCGTGTCCACGTCGTCCAGCCGCCGCCGGGCTGCGTGGGATCGAAGGACCCAGACCCGGCCCCTGCCCCCGGGAGCCCGGGTCTGATGGGCCCGGGACGTTCTGCCGGGAGGGGACGGGGTTTCCAGGTTTTCTTCTGCCTCCGGGACACGCGTGTCCTGCCTTCTCGTCCTCGGGACTGTTGTCGTGGAGGCCTGGGGCCCCCGATGAGCCGTGAGTTAGGAGGTCAGTTAGGTCTGCGCCCTCCAGACAAAGCCGGTGTCGCGGAGCCTCCCTGCCTGTGGGGCTGCGCGTGATGACCGGCGCGGTGCCCTCCGCGGGGTGTTCGCCGATGGCTGCGCTGGGCGTGAGGGCAGCCGGAGTGACCGCGACTTCCGTCCAGCCGCCTTGTTTACCCTCCGAGAGCCGGCTGCTGGGTTCGCGAGTGTTCAGTCTGAACAAACTTTCTGTCAAGAGAAAATACTAACCCTAACCCTAACCCTCATCTTGTGTGAGACTGAAAAACACGGGTCAGTCTGCGCTGGTCCGGAGCGATCTGGTGCCCGCGGTCCGCTGAAGTAGAACGTGCGCTCCGGGGGAGCTGGCGTGGGTGGGCGGCTGTGCCGCTGCGCTCCGGTCGCAGACGTCCTTCGACCCGCTGCCTTGTTTGCGAAGGTGTCAGGGTAAGACACAATCCTGTGCAATTTAAAACCGAAGCCCAGGGGGCACCTGGGTGGCTCAGTGGGTTAAAGCCTCTGCCTTCGGCTCAGGTCATGATCTCAGGGTCCTGGGGTCGAGCCCCGCATCGGGCTCTCTGCTCAGCGGGGAGCCTGCTTCCCCCTCTCTCTCTGCCTGCCTCTCTGCCTGCTTGTGATCTCTGTCCTTCAAATAAATAAATAAAATATTAAAAAAAAAAAAAAAAAAAAACAAAACCGAAGCCCAGCACGCGTTCTGTTGTCTTGGAGAAGAGTCCATTGTTCATACCTGGTGATCCGACGGCAGTGGGGCGTGCATGGGGTCCGGCTGTGAGCCAGGGTCGCGCTTCGGTTTGAGGAAAGATGAAGTGTGTGTAAATCGAGAGTCTCCTTACGCTGAAAGCTACATCCTCTCTGTCCCACATCTGCAGCCTGGGGTCAGGGGGAGGACAGAATCGCACGGTACACTAATGTTTGGGGTTCAAACGGCCAAAAGTATGGACATACAAAAGTATGGACACTTTAAAGTATGGACTAGGAAGGCTGCTGATGTGACCAGAGAGACTGGATTTGATTTCTGGAACTGACAAGTTCTGCCCCCTTGAGTCAAAGGAAGTAGTTTAACCAAGGCCACAGAAAGCTCAGAATCCGCTTGAGAAACAATGTCCCTAGTTGTCGGGCAGTGGCAGGGGCATTCAGGACGGTAATGTAATAAGGCTTCTGAGCTAAGGGCGATATGCCAAAGCCTTCTTAAAAATTACGTAGATGTATGAAGTTTCCTTTGAAAAAATTTAATCTAATTATTCTGTATATTTCCTTAGCAGCATTCTAGTTCCTTTGATTTTGGTTAGGGTTTTATCAATTCAGTGAATTAACCTTTATTTCATGTAAGTTATAAGGCTTAATATTTTGGTCAATATCTAATTAATGAGCATTTGGAAAACCTTTTCTAAACTTCGAACCTTTTTCTGTAGGTGCCTCTCTCATAGCATTGTTGGTACTTGTTGATATGAAGGAAAATCTGGGGAACCCTGACCTTGAGAAGTGGGTGTGGGGTGCTTAACCATGGTCAGTTTCTCTCCCCAGGTGGCAATTTGGCCCCAGTGACCCAGCCCCTAGTTTATTGCCGATGATTAATATGTAAATCACTTCCACAGCTTAAGCTCCTTTCAAGCTTTTGAGGTTTCCAAAGTAAAAATTTTCTTCCCAGTATTTTAGAAACTTAATTTAAAATAAAATTGTCTTATTAAGGACATTTTCAGATGTTTTAATCACTTTTTTTTAAAGATTTTATTTGTTTATTTGATAGAGATCACAAGCAGGCAGAGTAGCAGGCAGAGAGAGATGGAGGAAGCAGGCTCCCCACTGAGCAGAGAGCCCAACGCGGGGGCTGGATCCCAGGACCCTGAGATCATGACCTGAGCCCAAGGCAGAGGCTTTAACCCACTGAGCCACCCAGGCACCCTGTTTTAATCACTTTTTAAAGAAAATTTTAAGCTAAGTTTCTTAGCTCAAGGTTTGGCAGCCATTCTCTTTCAGGAGGAAACTTGAGTATTCTTAGAGAATCGGCTTCGCCTTGGGATTCAAGAGACTCAAAACTTTTATGAATGTTCAGATGCTAACTATGATTTAAAAGTTAAAAGGCCTATTTAGTAATGACCTGTATTTTCATAACTTCAGCGTCAGATTGATGCCAATGTCCTGAGCAGATGGTGCTCTCTGTATCCCTTATGGCACAGGAGAGAGATGGGTGGGCCATGATTTGATGCTAAGGACAGGAACGGAGGGTTATGTCTAAATTGTTATTGATATTTGTTGACTCTGACAGAGAAATTCACTGTACGTAACTATGACCAGGCAATATGACTGCATCAGAAATTTAATAAAGTCTGTGCTAAAACAAAATATATGGAGTCTCGTGTAGTTCAGCTGAACCCGAAGGCATCCGGGCCGTGACCAGGCTGCTGAACCCCCAGAGTACAGGGCTTAGAGACCCACTCTGTGGTGTGCAGGCCCTGCAGACGAGATCTGAATTCCCAAGTCCCATAGCCCCCTTTCCGTGTTTACAAAAAAGGCTGCGACCTTTCCCCACAGCAGGATGTTTGCAATAGCAGCTCTCAACTGTGGAATTTGCTTACTTGACTGGCTCAGTTCTGCTTGCTTGATAGGGTTCACAGCAGAAAGTCTTCTGGGGATATTTATGTACTATTTACCAAGTTTTAGTTGCATGTGTCAGAAAATCTGATCCAAATTGGCTTTAGCAGAAAGGGAAAACGTGATGGGCCAAGTGACTGGGCAGTCCCAAGCTGCTGTGGCTTTAGCTGTTCCCTAGTCCTGGGCTCCAACCGGGCCAGCAGAGCCCCCATTCTCTCTGCAGCTCTGGGGCAGTGTCCTTCTGCATGGCTGTGCTCTCAGGCTCTCCCCTTGTGGTGACAAAATCTTGGAGCAAGCCCAAAGGGAAGTGCCTGGAAGAGGAATTCCAGCAGCTCCACACAAGCCCTTGGTGAGATGCTGACGGGTCAGCTTTGGTTTGAAGCTCTGCTGTGGCCCACGATTTGTTCTAATTTGCACACTTGGGTCACCTGCTCCATTCCAGGGATGGCGTCTGTGAAAGGGGTGAACTGTGCTGGTTCTGAAATGAGACAGAGGCATTCAGGAGGAGCAGGAAGACATTTCTGCCCCAGTTTGCTAATCCAATGCAGGAAGTTGTCGTGAGTGCCCAGACATATGCACGAGGCACTGCAGGGCACAGATCACTCAACCTCCTGCTTCTGGCCCGTGAGGCTTGTAGTTTAGTGGTGCAAAAAGAAAAAGTTGGGAGCACAAAGGAAGTAGGAAGAGAAGACAGTTGGGTGGGTGTGAGCTTCAGATCACAAACTCAAGTGCTAAAAATATGAAAACGTGTCTTGAGCCCTGGTTTTCTGTCCGATTTGTGTCTCTGCCTTCTCCCTGGAGGTAGTCGTGTTTCAGGCCAATGCCAGGTCTGGGCTAGCACTGCCCACTCAGATTTGCTTTGGATCTTCAGGTGCTACTGCCCCTGGAGATGCTGCTGAGCTGCCCCTTGCTGTATGCGCAAGGCTCTGACAGTCCCGGCCAAGAGGACAGTGCAGTGTCCTCCTGCGGGCAGGACTGCCGGCCCTCCCGTGCCTCCTGGGCTGGCAGGAGCTTCATGGGGTGAGCCCTGTTGGCCCTGGGCATGCAGGGGGCTGCAGCCCTGGTCTCATGGCCATCAGACCCCCTTGGGTTTCCTTCCCTGTTCTCATCCTCCCTTTCTTTAGAGGATGTGGGAAGGGCTACTTGAAGGCGCTGCACCATGAACTTGTCCCTTGCTTCCCTCTGGCCCTCATCTCTCGCGAGGTCTGGGAAATATTATAACATCTAAGAGGCAGAGAAATGTTCTATTACTCAGCACATTTTTTTTTTTCTAAATCCATTGGATTTTGTATGTATATGAACTCCGTCTAGTCCTCACAGGGATTTGACCTCTAATTCCCAAAAGCTGTACAAATACTTTATACAGTTAACACGTGTCGGGTGTCGGTGTCCAGCCTCGGCAGGTCCAGGTGTCCCAAAGGAGGGGCAGTGTCGGCGAGAGGAATGAGAGGCCAGACAGAGAGTTCTGGTCAGTAGTCAGGCATCTCCGGTTTATTGCCGCTCAGTGAGTGCCTTATGTAGGCAGCTTACTTGGGGCAGGGGTTACATTCGTGCAAAGGACATCACAGGACTCAAGCACTCATCAGACAATTTCTCTTTGTTCAGCACGTGTTATTCTAGTTCAGCTATAATGGGTACAGGCTGGCGCCAGGGATGGGGACAGGGTCTTGCTTCTTGAGCAATCACGTCCCTCAGAAAGCCATGGGAGGCAGCACAAATATGTGCTTTTTGGTCACTTATTCTGGGGTCTGCAGGAAAACAGGGTATAGGTTAATGGAAAACGAGAAGCTATCTGGAGAAGCTAAGTATATAGGAGGGAAGCAGGGACGAAAAGGCGTTCCCTTTGCAGCAAGCAGGGTGTGTATCAGTGGCTCGGCTGTGAGGCCTTGGACAGACATCAGCCCAGGGAGGAAACCGTCTATCACGGTGCGCATCTAAAGTTCTCCAGTGTCCGAGGTGCAGAATAATTCACCTCCTTGAGGCTGCTCCGGCCCGTGAGCCCGAGAGATGTTTGCAGTCGATTAGCAAGGGGCTCTTTGTTTGAGAGAGACATGGGGATGAGAGGAAAAGGCAAGAGACTATCAGGCCGTGCTTATCTGCCGGCGATCCGGCCCTTGGCAGGATTAGGCCTGCATCAGTTCAAACCCTAACCTAGTGGGGCAGTGCCCTCGACCAGGCCTTCTGGCTCCCAAGAGTCGGCCGCTTTACCGTGTGTCATTATGGCGTGTGCTGGAGATGCCGCAGGTAGGAAGATAGTCAGAGTACTTACCCCATGCGCTTGCCTTGTTGCGGAGGAGACGTACAAGAAAGACTACGATAGGCAGACGGGTGACAGGGCGGACGGATAGATATGTGGATACAGACAGACAGGAGCCCCTGATTGATAGATGTGACAGATACAGGTGCAGACAGATGTGTGTGGTTGACCTATAGCGTAAGGATGTAGGCTGTAGTGCAGACTAAAGATGATGGGAAGACTCGGAGGTAAGCGATGGCATGCCGTTCTCTGAGCTATTACTTAAGTGGAACATTTCTGTGGAGAAGTGACCATAGGGGTTCAGGACGAGGAACCAAGACACCAGGCAGGAGGCTTGGGGTAGCTGCCGCGAGAACTGGTCATGTTTTGGGCCAGGCTGGTGGTGAAGAGGAGGAAAAGGGTGGGGGCCGGGGGACAAGGGGACCCTGGCGAGAGACTGAGGAGGAGCCCTGGCCCCTGGCTCTTCACTCTTTCCTGCGGGTAGATCAAGGCCATGCCAGCAGCCGTGGTGGCTGCCGGGTCCTTGTGAGAACCCAGAAACCAGACCTGGGGGCAGGTTTGTCCCTGGGCTCCGCAGGTCACTGCCTGGTTGGCGGGAGCCCCGGTGGAGAAGCTCCGCAGCCCCAGGAAGGTCAGCCCCGGAGGCGGCAGGAGACGGAAGGCTGCCTCGTCGACCCACCGCCGCGTTCCTGCTCGACGGCCTGTCCACGCGCTCAGCCCCGGCAGCAGCTCCGTGATCTGAGGGGTGTGCAGAATGGTTTCACTTAGAAGCAGCATTTTAAGTTGGTCTTGAAGAATGAGTTACATCTCCAGAGGCCACAGGTTGGCCATGATTTTCCTTAAAGGGCCGGATAGTACATATATTAGGGTAAACAGGCCAAGAAACAAAATTTGAGGTTATATGTAGACACTTCCACAACAAGACAGAAAACAATGACCAGTTTTTTTAGTTGATAAAAAGTGAAGTATAGTGATTGAGAAATTTTCTTTGTAATGCAAGTCTTGTGAGGAGTCAGATGTGATCATGTGGGAGAACATGTTGCTACTTGAGGTTCAAAGTTAATGTTCCTTCTCATCAAAGGAAATCACGCATGTTCAGCCAGAACTGATCTTACCGGTTATATCCGTGAGAAGGTGTTTTCACACAAAATATTATTATCCTTTGATTTAATTTGTTTAGCTGTCAAAAATGTAAAAAATCTTCTTACCTCCCAGCCCATAGGTGAATAGATGGTGGCTGGACTTGGCCCAGGGCCACCATTGGCCGACCCCGGGGCGGGGGGTCCCTTTCCCACTTCCTGCCCCTCAGCTCCCAGGGTGCCCTTCAGTGTGGGCTCCGGGATCAGCAGCAGCAGCCCTTAGAGGATGACTCCTTTCAGGCAGGCACAGGGACAACCTTCCCCAGTAGTGACCGTGGGAGGGACATCGCCAGAGACCGAAAGGGGTCAGCTGTGTGGCGAGAGGATGCCGGTAGAGCCCACCCAGCCACAGGCCCAGGAGAGGCCCCTGTACTCAGAAACCAGAGCTCCACAGCTCCTGTCGGCACCCAGACGCCAACCACAGGCCCGCGCCACTGGCTGCGGGCGGCCTGCCCCCCAGCGGATGGCCCACCAGCCCCTGAGCAGGTCCAGCCTGGGAGAACGTGGCCATCCTCTCCAAGGAGTGTGCACCTCTTCCAAACCCGTCCTTGCTGAGCGCTCCCTCAGCCCTGGGCACCCATCCAGGGCGAGTCACTCTTGCTGATGACCGCGCTTGCAACCTGCTGTTCCCGTTCTGATCCCGGCTCACCCCGGGCGGAGCTCCAGCTCTGGAGGAGGTGGGGGGGAGGTCGTTGCCCTGGAGCTCGGGCGCCCGAGGACAGCACGGGGTAGGGCCCTAGAGCTCCCCGTCGCTTTTGGGACACACTGAGAGCGTTGGTGTGGAGAAGGTGCATCTTTTTAAATGTTTTACGTTTAATAGTCAAAGCTGCTGCTTGGCTCCTCTTAGAAGGACTTGCACTGGTGTGTGAGGAAACCCCGTAACCGAGAGCGTTAGTGGAGGCGGGACCGCACTCGGTGTCAGTGCCCACATTCCCGCCTCTCCAGACCAGTGAGCGGACAGCATGGATGCAGGACAAGCCAAATCGTAAGTCCGAGAATGAAAGTCGCAGGCACTTCCCCACCATCTTTCTTCTTCAGAGAGCAGAAGTGATGTTGGAAACGTGGTGGTTGGGGTGATATCAGCTGTGGTAAACAGCCTCCAGATCGCAGTCACTTAGTCCAGCAAGAGCCACTCCTTCAGGGACCACAGTCCAGTGTGCGTGTTGGGTCCGGGCCGCTCTCCCCGGGCGCTGACCCGGGGACTCTGTCCATCCCTCTCGGGGCTGCGATAGCGACAGGAGAGGGAGGATGGAGAGAAGTGCCGCTGGGACAGGAGTACCCGGGTGGGCGGGCGGCCGGCCGTCCCAGCCACACAGCCTGGGACACGGAACCTCTGGGCGCCACTGGTCTGTCCCACGAAAGGTGCGCCGAGCTGCCCCGTCTCCGGCAGCACAGGAGTGAGGAACTCAGACACCCCATCCGGTTATAATGTGAGTGACAGCGGGGCGTGTACCTTAGGGGCAGGCCACTCTGTGGTAGTTCTCCAGTTACGTCTCCCGACTCACACCCCCTCTCCTCTTCAGCCACCAAGAGGGAGACGAAGCCACTGCCGTCTCAGTGCATGCCTACCTCGTGGCTTTTAACTCCTATCCGCTGGCCCCGTCCTGTACTGGAGATGTGGAAAACTGGAGGCTGGAAACGCCCCTTCCCATATATGTATTTTATAGGTCATGGGGAATTAAAAAACCAATTGTATGTCATTAGTGTGTCAGCTGGAGTCATGGCTAAAAACTACCTCCATAAAATGGACTTTAAAGGCCCAAATGTCTTTATAACTATGGAAATTGGAATTTTTCTAGTTTGTATTTTTTCTGAGACTCTCTAAATCCAAACTGTACAATCAAAGCATTAATAATAGGACAGATTTAAAGGTTGCTAGTAAGTTGACATAATTTTGAATGGCTGTCTTAAGATTGCTTCCCTGTACAAAAATTACATGCTTCTGAAGATTTTTCTGTGTTCATCTCTGTTCTTAGAAGGAACCATTGCCAATAAAAGGAGCAGTCCCAAAAGACTATCAGCTTTCAGTATCTCAGTACCGTCGTGAAGATGGAATAGTTTCGTTTCTAAATAAGTACATGACTGAGAAGATGAGGAGTAACTCTCTATTAGCTCCTAAAAATTCAGATCCCAGAACTATCTGTGTCATCCAAATGCAAACCATAACAGAAAAGTGTTTAGTGTGCAGCCTCCCACCCAGTCCTCTCCTTGGAATTCTGTTCATGCCTGTTTGCCTATGTGTGCGGGGCCAGGGGTGGGGGGTGGGGTCTCTGTGTATGCACAAGAGTGTGTAAACGGTAAGCGTACAGTTTCTGCTTTTCCATGCCTCTTTATGCAACGAATGTTGCTGGCCCTGCGAGGTCAGATTCGAAATGATAGACAACTTATGGGGTCATTATCCGTAATATAAATGTTTACAGCAGGGGTCATAAGGTGCCACTAATATAGCAAATACTTAATTACATAATATTCAGCTTCTGCCGACCAGTCTTCATTATACAATATTTCAGACCCACAAGGGACTATTGAGGATAACATAATTAACACGCACGGCCCACTACACAGTGAAGGGAGAAAAGTACAAGCCTCAAGCAAGTCCCCTCCAGAAGCCTTCCCTAGGACCACCCCAACCCCGAATCCAATAGCATTATACTTCGATTATACATATGTATATTTTATACATAAATTTTACACACAAATATATGTATTTTGTTATAAATTCTATATTTTATATAAAACATATTCTTATTTTTGTTCATGCCTCAAAACGTTGCCGTGAATGTCACAATACTCCGTATGTCTTCGTGCAGCTGTTTTTCCTTCTGTTGTTCCCACTTTCCCGCGCTGGCGCGTGTCTGCCAGTCGGTCGGTATCTGTGGAGAACGGGCTTGAGGGCCACACCGGACCGTATTGATTCAGCCTCTTCTTGAGGGAAATCGTGTCCTTCCTTGAATGTGTGTGTTTCTATGTGTTCTTCTTCGTTTGCTCGGGGGGGCACTGCCTCAGCGACCCCTCTGCACGCGTGGTGCTGGTTCCAGGCGCTGCACACTGGCGGGAACTGATCCACTGTGTGCAGGGCCAACCCCCTCCTAGGCCTGCAGGGCCCCTTCTCCTGGGCTCTCGGGCTTGCAGGGCCTGTAGGTGCTCCACGGCTGCTGGCTCCGCTGTCCTCCCTCCTCTGTGTCCCACAAGGAAACTCATCTCTGGATTCGGGTCCACCCACCCAGGTAGCCCAGGATGAGCTCCCCATGGGACCTTCGTTACATCTGCAAAGACCCTTTTTCCACACAAGGTCCCATTCTCGGGGTTTAGGTGGACACGAATTTGGGGACCAGCATTCAACTCACCACGGCCTCAGTGAGCACACCTGGGGACCTTTACGGGCGACTTCAGCGGGGAGTGAAGTAGGTGGGTTGTAGGGACAGCCCCGCCTGCCGTCCTCCCTGGGGCCCTCCTCCTGTCAGGACCCGCACACGCACCGGCAGACCGTCCGGTGCCTGTCGACCCAGGAAATGAGCACAGGTGACTCGCGGTGGCCTTACAGGGCACGTCCAGCTTTTCAGGTGGTTGCCGGCCCCAGAGTTTTCCTCTTCTGTGAATCAGCTGATTAAACACTGTGCCCAGTTTTCCGTTGTGCTATGTGTGTTTTTACTGATTTTTAAAAGATCTCTCTGCATTCTGAACCATAGATAGCCGCCCTTTATTCGTATGACAGATCTCTTCCGGCCTCTCCCTTGTATTGTATTTTCAAATGTATGTGGACACACTTTTTCTTGACTTTACTGTAGCTGAATGTATCTGTAGTTTCCTATTACTGTTGTGCATTGTTTAGGGCAACCCTCCATTGCCCAGATAATAAAGATATTTTCCATTACTTTTATTCTAAAAGTATTAAACTTTACCTTTAGTATTAAGGCAATCAGGTATTGAATTTTTTTGTGTATGATGCGATATTATAATTAAATTTATTTTGGTTTTATTTGAATGACCAGTTGTTCCAGAATAATTTATTAAACTACCACGTCATCTCTGTCATATATTTTTAAGTATGTGAGTACATATATGAATATATTTTCCTTGCTTTTGTCACGAAGGTGACATTTTTAAGTGCTGTGGATTATTCAGTAAGTTGTGTTGTGTATGTTAAAAATATGAGGTTCTTCCTATCCTATGCCAATGTAAGTTTGAGATGGACCAAATATTTAATGTAAAATAGAAGCTCGGGTAGAGAATGTGGAATATTGGCTGTATCAGTTTTGTTTTTGTTTTTGTTTTTAATCAAGGCCTTTAGTCACAGTAGTAGAAAGAAAAAAAATAGTAGAAAACCCAGAGAAATATTGCCATATAAATAAAAACAAATGCTGAAAACTCTAAATAATTTTTTTAAAAAAGCAAATTGAGACATAGACTTACAACATGATTAAAATTATGGGCAAAAGGAGTATGGAACCAGAAAAAGTCAAAGTATATGAACAGAAAATATGTGAAACAGGAAATATAATAAAACAAAAGAAAAATTCGCTAGTATTCAGATAAATTCAAATAAAATTTGTCATCCTGTTTTTCTGATGTACGGACTTTGCCTTTCCCAGGGTCAGCCATAACAGTGGAGTTTTTTATGGCAATACTCAGTGGTTCTAAATGTGGGTGGTGTTTTGGGGTGCCAGTCAGTTAAACTCGGGTAGTATTTTGGGGAGACAGTTCAGCAGTGTAATAACCTTTACCGTCACTTGGAGAGTGAAAGCGCGCGGGGAGGTTCGTGACAGAGAAACGTGCCGCCCCGTTCTGTAAACCCTAGAAACTGGCAAAAGAGAGTGGGTGTCTGCTCGCACAAGTGGGGCTCCCGCTGAGCGTGTCTGGGACCTCGGAGGAGGCCGGAGCCAGAGGCCGCCTCTTCTCCTGCCTGAAGGCACCTCCCCGGGCGGCTGGGGCCGGGACGTCCGCCGGGGCGGGCTGCGCGCGCTGTGAGACAGACGCAGGCCCCGGGGCCGGGCCAAGGGCGAGCTCCAGCACTCTGTGAGGGGACCCCACCCATCCCCGTGTGTGCGGTCGAGCCAAGAGCCACCACCAGGGAGCCAGGAGGTGACCCGTTTCGGTTCAGAGCCGGAGGGGCAACAGCTCCCGCATCCGGGGGCGAGCGCGTGAAGCCCGAGGGCGCGGGGAGAGCCCGGGGAGCCGCGCCTGGCTGCAGGGCTCCGTCCCCAGCGCGCGACAAGCGCCCAGCCTCTCGCAAAGCAGGCCTTGGGAAGACCGAGCTGACGCGGGACTCCCGGCACTGCCTGCTCCCGCGGCATCGGCCCCAGAGACGACGACAGAGTCTGGACACTCCACGCGGCCACATCCACCGGGTCCGGCAACCGTCCGGTTTTGCTAGAAGTGGGTAGAAACAGGAAAATCTAACCCATATCTAGGAGAAAGATCTGTCAAAAGCAAATCCTGAAAGGCCAGAGATGATGCAATTATCAGACAAGGATAAAAAAAACACCTTTTAAAATATGCTCAAGCATTTAAAGAGCAACCAACATCTATTGAGAACAGAAACGGAAAGAACCGAAGCAAGTGAACTTCAGAGCTGAAAACGTCGTCTTTGCAATAAAAAAGGCATTTGATGGCCTGAGCCACAGACTCGACATCGGCGCCTCGTGGTCTCCTTGGCTCTTCAGATCGCTTTTCTTGTGAGAAGGGCGATCCGTCCCCACAGACTTCGGCTCTGGGAGGGTTGTCTGTGCATTTTGGGGGACAAACCCGTGCTTGCGTGACTCGAGGACACCCGGGCAAGCCTGAAAGCTGGGGCTGTGCGGACACAGGAGTGGTCGCTCACTTCCCGAGTCTCAGAATTTTACTCACAAGGAGAATCTATGCAGATAGTTCAGTATTTTGACAAAAGCATCCAGATAAATTTTGTATTTTTTATTATACAGAGTTGTAAGTAACATCTTTTGTTAATTCTTCAAATTTTAATGTCTTTTAACTAGTATTGCGGTGAGCTAAGAATTACAGAGAGCAGACATGTAATTAGGAGATTGGGCCAGACTTTGTTTAAGATCTTTTAGAATCCCAGGATTTTATAATTTCTGGGGTTTTGAGAATTTAGGGTTTCTCAATCTCAGAGTGAATTGACGTTATCAGGAAAACAGAGATGAGACAATAATTTGAGGGTCCCCGGGTCACTTCTTTTGTCTAGAAGGATGGAATTGGTCAATGCTCGGTTGTGCGTGAGAAAAACTGAAATCATAAATACATTTCTAACTCCTGTTTACTAGATTTTTTTCATTAAAATCTCCTTTTTTAATCTTTCAGTGAATAATCCTATACCTTCCAATTTGAAATCGGAAGCAAAAAAGGCTGCTAAAATTCTAAGAGAATTCACGGAAATAACTTCCAGAAACGGACCCGATAAGATCATTCCTGGTAAATAAAATATGTGCCTCTCGTTTCTCTGTGTTGCGTTGTGTTAGTTGCTCGGTGCACTCAGATGGAGGCCCCAGGGGCAGCAGGCCCGCAGAGCACTGCTTTCCTCCTGCTGGTCTGCTGGCTGGGCTCCTGAGGCGCCCACCCTCCCCCCACCCTCCGCCCCTGTGGAGGCCCCCTTCCGGCCTCCTCCTTGTGCCTACTTGGGCTTCCCCAAACTCCCGTCATCATCCTCGGTTTCTGAGGCCTTTGCAAGCTTATCTTGCAGAGTCACTAGCCAATCTCAGAAACCAATTTTAACTTTGGGTTTTCTTTTTTTGAGGTCAGGTATTTTTACGTTTTGTAGGGGTTGGAGAACACATGAATCAATCATTCCTAACCCAGCTGTGCGTGAGATTCTTTGGATCATTAAAATAACAGCACCTCTACACACCGCCCCCCCCCCCAAACCTGCGGAATACACCCTGGGAGCAGAGTGGCCTGGACGGGATTGTGGCGGAAGCAGGAGGCCAGAGGCCAGAGATGGGCTTTTGGGAACCGGCTGCTCCCGTTATTCCTACGGGTGGTTCCAGGAGCAAAGATTCCTATGCAAACCGGCTTGGGGACTGCTTCAAGCTGCTTTCCCTCTTAGTTAATCAGGGGCCTGGGAGATGGATCCTGCATCACAAAACGGATTTAACTTCCTTTTTTAAAACTAGTTTAATTTCTTACACCAGATTTTTTTAAAGTTGTTTAGCAGAACTTTAAATGTTAAAAACGTTTAATTTGTTGTTGTAATAATATTATTATATTTAATATATAATACTATGTAAATATTATTATTAATTATCATTTGGGTCCAGACACTACTACTCCCATCATGAAGACGGTGCTCTGAGGAGCCTTGCTACCCCACGTGCAGACTGGGCCAGCGCTGGGCATCGCCTGGGTTCTTGTTAAAAACGCAGGACCTCAAGGCACCACTGAGGCCCAAGGAGTCAGAATCTGCATTTTTCACAAGGCCTCCAGTGATCTGTCCGCACATACCAGTTTGATAAGTGCTGTGTTAGGGCATGAAGAAAATTCAGCCAGAAAAACGGAGTCTTCGGTGGTGGTATTCTGGATAGGAGACAGCAGATCTCTGACCTGTGTGAGCAGTGTCAGCTGTATTGGCCTCAGCAAACACAGCCTGCTAGCCCAGTTTATGGGTAAATTGTATTTCCCAACATAGAAACATCGGAGTATGGATTATTTCTCAAGGAATTTGTGCAGTAAAATTCCATCAGGGAATCTGTAATCAGCGCATCTATATTATAAATGAAAAGCTAATTCACAAATTATTTAGGCATTATTGGTATTTTAGTGTCCCCAAATTTGGATGGAAAATCTATAAAAACAAACCTGACATTGAAAATATGTCCATCTACTTTTGTTCTGTCTAAATAGAGGCCGTCCTGACCGTATGGGCGTTGAGAGAGGAGAGTGAGTTGTAGGAGATGTTCGGCCAACATGTGGCTGTAGAAATAACCTTCCGTGGCAGACAGTAGGGTTCCAGCCTCATACGGTGCACCTGGAACCTCACAGAATCCCGGAGGAAGGCAGGCCCGGCCTCGTTTGCTGTGCGTTGCTGGGCTCCGAGGCTCCACACGTCTGCGTGCAGGTTTCATGCTCATGAGCGCGTTACTCGGAGACTCTGCCATTGACGTTGTGAAGTGGTGTGCACAGTGACACGAGAAACGTCGTGTTTTCTAGGGCCTCCTCAAGAGCATTTCCTTGTATTTGAGTACAGGGTCCGATTTGGCTTTCTTGGTGGAATATTGGACCAAGGACAGGACATCAAGCCATCTCCCCTTGTTATTGGGAGATGCAGTGTTGTGTGGGGGAATCCGGGGGGGCAGTGTTTGGGGGGGCGCATGTGCTGATAACTCATTCTGTGTGAGGTAACTAAGTGTGTAAACTCTGTCCTCAGTGCGCTGGGACGCACATGGTACTTGAATACTTGAACGAAAGGTAAAACTCTTCTAAAGTGGCAAATAACTTGGTTTTTCTGTGCTCACATGTAATTTTCGTGTTGGTAAAAGGTGAACCAGCTGTGTGGCTCTGAGACCCAGGCTCTGCCGTGTGCGGACGCCCTTGCTGGCTTTCTCCTTTGTACTTGGTTCCGGATGATCGCATTTCCTTTAAAACAGGAACCTGTTTTTTATGAGTTATATTCTCAATTCATTGAAATTTCCAAATTATTTGTCCTGCTAGTACATGTCCACTAAAAGAATCTCATCACGTATCCCATCTGTTGCCGGTTGTGCGTGTGTCTGGGCATCGGTTCTGTGGCCATTGGAAACAGCACAGGGAAGGGCGGGGCAGTAGGGCCATCGGGCCCCTGTGTCCTGGTGAGCGTTCTTTGGCTCACCGGTGCCGCAGAGACGGTCCTGAGAAGCCTGGGGTCCTGCCCCTCAGAGCTTCCGCGCATCCATCTGCTTACCGCCCGTCGGTTCAGGCAAGTCCACTCCAGACGCTCACCTGCCTGATGTCTCTAATTTGCAGCCCACGTCATCGCCAAAGCCAAGGGCCTTGCGATTTTGTCGGTGATAAAAGCTGGATTTCTAGTAACTGCTAGAGGAGGCAGTGGGGTCGTGCTGGCTCGTCTTCCGGACGGAAGTAAGTTGACTGTCTTCATTTTCGACACCCCTGGCAGGGAGCCTCCTAACACTGTCACCCTGGAGTGTGCACTTGGCACGTCCCGTCCACAAGGCGGGGGCTTCCAGTTCTCTCCTCCTCTTAAAATGCTAGACGAGACTTGCAGGCGTAGGTCTGGCTTTGTCTTACATGCATTTTGTACTTCTTCCATGGAGCAAATACTGAATGTGACAATATCTACATTTCTGCTGTTGGATATGAATCTTATTTTCAGCTTTGTGGTACAACTTTTCTTTTGTTCTCTGGAAGTTGATAATATCAGAGCCATCTGGAACCTTTCTGCTATTCCCGTAGGAAATGATAAAACCTGAAAGTTTTGTTTAAAGCCTGTACTTTAAAGGTGGAAGCACATCAGGACAATACAATTTGGTTTTACTTTCTGGGGTGAAATCTAACATTTGGTTCGTCAGAGATGAAATCAAAACATACTTTCCTTAATTCCCAAAGATTTAGCCGGTATTTATAGTAACATCTAAAACGTATGCACATGAGTCATAACCAACTAAAATGCTTTTTATACTGATTTAACATTCTCATTTTGCTCATATAATTGAACATATTTCTCTCTTAATAGATGTTTTTGGTGTAGGTAAGTTAATTTTAATCTGGAAGAGAGCGTAGGACAATGACCGTAGATACATCTGGGAGTTTGTGGGGCGTGTGGCCACTGAACCTCGGTGGCTAGGTCCACTGTGTCCTGTGATGTGTCCCCACAGTAAGTTGGAGTCTCTTCCCAAAGCTGTGGCCCAGCGTTTTGTGGTTCAGTCCTTGCCTATGACATGGAAACAACCAAGTTCCCTTCTTCTCGAGCACGGCACACGTTCTCCTGAGAGACCTCCAGGTCACACCAGACAAAGTGGAGGCCCACTCAGAGGGTCTTCAGTGTCTGTGAGCTGTTCCCCCCGGGGTTGGACAGGGGGGCCATCTGCAGAGGAGGAAGCCTGACAACCTCCGGGGTCTCTCAGAACCTCAGGTGGCCTTTTTTTAAAAGAATTTATTGATTTGTTTATTTATTTGACAGAGAGACACAGGGAGAGAGGGAACACAAGCAGGGGGAGTGGGAGAGGGAGAAGCAGGCTTCCCGTTGGGCAGGGAGCCAGATGCGGGGCTGGATCCCGGGACCCTGGGATCATGACCTGAGCCGAAGGCAGATACTTAATGACTGAGCCACCCAGGCGCCCCACAGGTGGCCCTTTCTACCTCCACTTCCCTCCCCGCCATCCTGAAGGCCAGCTACTCCATCTGTAATTGCCCAGATGAAACAGCAGATTCCCCAGATCCTGGCCAGATGAGCCGTCTTCAGACAGGGATGGTTCTTAACATAGGAAATGGAAAACAATTTTGGGATTATATGACATTAATTTCTGTAATCAAAACTCCCCTAAGCCTGGTAGATTAGTTCTGAATATATCCAAGCAATATCCTGTTATCTAGAATACAAAATTAGGTTTAGGAAGCTAAGAAGCCTTTCAGAAAGTACTTTATCTATACGATCCCACACTCCCCCCAACAAATTAATTTTTTCCCCTAATTCAAGTGGAATTATTGTACTTAGTTTTCAAGTGTAAGGAAATTTATCTTGTTAAAATCTTAATAATCTTGAATTTGTAGGCTATTTCTTGTTCTACTAGGTACAAAAAGACAAGTTTTTGTCTTCAGAGATTTACAATAGAAACAGTTTATTATTGTGTTACCCTTAAAAGTGATTATAATAAACTTCTCTTGACTCCTTTTGCTCTCTTATATCTATGATAAAGTTCTAACTAAAAAATAGAATTATACACCTCAATTATTTTGTAAAACATAAATATTGAGAGTTGCAGTGATCAAATGCTATATGTGTTTAGTACGTGAGGGTTCCATAATTGGATGTATTACGCACGTTTATAAAGATTAAGGGACATGGATTTGTGAGTCTGTGAGCCTCAATATCTAATACCTTTCAAACATTTTTTTAAATATTTTTTAATGTTTTATTTGACAGAGAGAGAGATCACAAGCAGGCAGAGACACAGGCAGAGAGAGAGGGAGAAGCAGACTCCCCACTGAGCAGAGAGCCCGATGTGATGCGGGGCTCGATCCCAGAACCCCAGGATCATGACCTGAGCTGACGGCAGAGACTTAACAGCTGAGCCACCCAGGTGCCCCAGCAATGTCACATTTCTTAAAGTTGTTTTGTCAACATTCTGCACATTGAATTTTGATGAAATAGATAATATCTTGTTCACAAATTTGTCTATGGTAATTGTCATAAAAATATACCTCTAGTTTCCTAATTTATGTAGCAGTTGGTGAAGGAACTTTAAAAAGCTGCTTCATACTGTAGGAAATGATGGCCCTTTGAACTTCACCCATGGTGTGTTACTAGGTGCCGGGGGTCTGGAGGAGGGTGCCGTCTGTGTGCAACCTCTGAACAGAAACCCACCCGCAGAAATGCGCTATTCTAATTCCGACCTTAGCACCTTTCAGTCAAAGCAAACTCAACTTGAATCAAAAATTTTCAGTAGTTTGACTACAGAAAGGTGAATGTAGTAGATGAAAGCTCTTAGAAAGCTTTAAACCTTGGGTTGGATCAGTGGGTGAAGTCTCTGCCTTCGGCTCAGGTCATGATCCTGGGGTCCTGGGATCGAGCCCCACATCGGGCTCTCTGCTCAGTGGCGAGTCTGCTTCTCCCTCTCTCTCTCTGCCTGTGTCTCTGCCTGCTTGTGATCTCTGTCTCTGTCTAATAAATAAATAAAGTCTTTAAAAAAAAAAGAAAGCTTTAAACCAAACTGTGGTCTTGTACCCTGATTTAATGGTGTTGTTGGCTCTTCCTTGCCTGGGGATCCATTCCTTCATTTGTAGTCTTGCTCTGTGAAATGTTGCTGTGAATTGATATTGTAATCAATAAAATACTTTTAACCAGATATATATATGCTTATTAAATAATATTAAAATCGCAGGGAGAAATGCCAGAGTCTCATTATTTTTAAAAGAAACACTGTTCATTCTCATTGTAGCATTTTTCCTTCCCATATTTGTGTGCCAAGGGGCTTTAATGTTAGAGTAACGTCTGTGTCTCTGTTTTTGTTAGAATGGTCTGCACCTTCAGCCATTGGGATAGCTGGGCTCGGCGGAGGGTTCGAAGTAGGAATTGAGGTAAGTGTGGAAACACACAATTGCGGTTTTCTCTAAAAGCAGCTGAAACTTACTGCACAGAACTTGTGAGACTACCTCCTGTTCTCCTTTCACCACCGACGGAATCCGTATTTCATTTTCCGGAGAGATGCCCTCTTAGGACTGCCCGGTGTCTCCCGTGTTCTTCATGGGGAGTAGAGCTCGGCCCGTCCACCCTTTGCTCCGCGCCCACCTTCCGCGCGTCTCTGGAACAGATACGCCTCACAGGGACCGCACTGTCTTTGGCCGCCTGTGGCTTGGGCTCGTAGGGCTGCTGATGTCCGTGGCGGGCTGTAGAGCTCGGGTCCCGGGCGCACCAGGCTTCACACAGTGTGCCTTCAGGTGCGGCAGCCCCGCGGTTGTGCCCCGTCCGGCCTGCAGATTACTTCAAGTGCCGACTTTGCATGGTTTCGTTTTGTGACTTGGCTCCTGGTGATGACGGCCTCTCGGATGGGCTCCCGGCCACAGCACCCTGTTCCCAGGGGTCATCTGGGGTTAGCATGCCTCCGCCAGCTTCTCCTGCAGGGAGATCAGGCTTGCTTCATTCTTTAACGACAGGATTGAACTTAACGGCGGAACGGGCATCCTACTCAGTGGCATCTCGTTGCAGACCTAAGAAAGCTGATCCCGTTTCCGGGTGTCCGTCTTACACTGTTCACTTGCTCTCTTGCCAGTTTGCTTTCAGGGAATCTGTTTGCTTTTCCTCTAAGCTGTGGAAACAAACCTAGAGCTTGGCCCCTCTCCCACCTCTGCGGAGCTTTGACCTGGTTCTCTCATTAGTGACATCACCAAGGAACACAGGGTCATTTTACTTTTCTTCAGAGAGAGCTGAATTGAGGTGACCCAGAAAATTAAAGGGTCATTTTTTTTTTTCCTTTAACTGGCTTTTAGAGTTTTCCCTTAACTATACTGTGATGCCACAGGTGGAGGGGACAGTACCAGTCAGGTATTCACACAGTCGGGGCCAGAGCTGTGCGCTCTCGGCCTCTGTACACACCAAGCGCTGTGCAAATCAATTTTATATGTATTACCTGAAAATGCACGTAAGAGATAGCTCACACAATCATGGGCAAAATTACTTAATTTTGCTTAAAAATGCTAGGTAATTCTGTATTATCCGACACTGCAGTCTTTAGAAACTATCCACATGTGAGGTGGAAATAACGGGTGATAGGACTCACGGTGAAGTATTTCCTAGAGTTCAGTTAGCTGGTGTATTTAGTTCGTGCTGTGGAACTCAACTGTATTTTTTTCATAAAATGATTCAAATTAAGCATTTTTAAAAGAATCTACTTGTATTGCGATCTCTATTAGGTCTTTTCAATCACGGTCTCTTTTGGTGGTATCTTCTGTAGGTCCCATGAAAAATTGATTTGAAAACATTAGAAAACGTTAAAGAACTATATGAATTAAGTAATCTTTGGAACACCAGTTTGTTTGGCCTTTGCATGTTTTACTGAGTTGTGGTGAACACGCCAAACTCTACAAAGGATTTCGGCTAAACCTTTAAACAACCATATGCGTGTGTCTCCGCACGTGCCTGCGTGTATGCAGAGTCTACGTACGGATGTGGCTCCTGTTATCATACCCACCTTAAAACAGAGAAACGAGCTAAGGTTTCAAGATGTTCAATTGTTTGCCTAAGATCCCATGATGTGCAAGAGGCAGAAGTAGGATTCACACCCAAAGAGCTAGATTTTTAGCCCAAATTCTTAGCCTCAGTAGGTATGCCTTTCCTTTTCTAGGGTATGCGTGACACACACCCTCGATCTTCAGAGGGGTAAGTGAGTGTGCGCAGGAAAAGGTGAGAGATGCAGAGTGGTCAGAACGCTGCTGGTCACCCATTTTTCGAGGAGGGGGCCTGACTAGGCTCGGGCCTCCAGCCCCGAGGGCTCTCCACGCTTCTGGGCTCTCACTGGGCTTGTGTGCCACGGCGGGGAACACCTCCTCCGTGCTGGCTTGTCTGGGGCATTATTCCCACATTCTGATTTTTGCTTTTACTTAGAGAATTAAGTCAGTAGGTGCATGAACTAATAGTTAAGTAGCTTCCTTCTGTTATTCTGAATTTCTGCCCCTAAAGGAAAGTGGACGACATGCTCTTTATCAGTGTAGACATGTGACCTTGCCAGGGACTTCAGTGTGGAAATGTCACTGAGGGCCCTGGATCTTACGCCCTGAGTCCCAGCTGGATGGGCTGTGGTTCAAAGCCTTTCTTGGCATGTGTAGTCGAAGGGAGTACTTGTAATCTTCCTGATGACCTCTGTCGGATCTCTTCTGGCTCTCACCATGACAGTCCAGTCACCTCACTAGACCTCTGTCACTGCCTACATCACAAGCCTGCCAAGAGGACCGGGAGTGTGCACGGAGCCCTCCAGTATGTGTCTGGTGCATAGTGAATGCTCAGCGGTGTTTGCTGTGCCAACCCGTGGAAAGAGCCGTGGCTTACATCCTCTGCTCAAAATAAAAATAATTCTTCTCTCTTTTTCTTTCACTGTCTACATTGAAATTCTTGCTACATCATATGGTATGTATTTTGAGTTTTAATCAGCATGTATTTTAAATGACATTTGTACATAATTATTTTTAAAGAAATGGGTCTCTTCATTTTCAGGTATCAGATTTGGTAATAATTTTGAATTATGACAGAGCAGTAGAAGCTTTTGCAAAAGGTGGTAACCTGACCCTTGGAGGGAATTTTACTGTGGCAGTTGGGCCCCTGGGAAGGTGAGTACCATAAAGTACTTTCTGGACAGCTGTTGGATAGTAATGGTTTAAAGATTATACATGGTTTTGCCCTAAGAGGAAGCTTCAATTGAAACGAAACTGGTTTATGGTTTATATATGTCCCAGAGGGTTTGAGGTTGTTTGGAAATAAGAAATTTGTAAAGCACAGCCAGTGTGATAAAATAAGAAAATCTGAAACTGGAACAAACACAAGAAACTGAATACTTCAGAAACGTAGGCCATTATATCTACTGGGATGGAACATGAAATTTACCTGTAAGCTCTGAAGGAGCCAAGTCCAATTTAATTAGCTGATAAAAGGCAGCATTGATCAAGAAAGAAAAAAGACTTTCTTCAGACTGAATTATGGAAAATTTGAAATAGAAGCTTTTCACTAGAGTGATGTGTATAGTACATAGAGTGCATTTTACCCCTCTGTTAATGGACAACTATTTTGGGGTCATTCAAGCAATGTAGAAATACTGAAAACTCAGACCATACAGTCTTCTAGAAAGGTTTCTAAATTCCATGAAAATACTCAGTGTAAGAAGAACCCACAGTCCTTAGTACTCTTAAAAGGTACATTCCTGTTTCAAGAAAGGGAGACAAAGTCGGAAAGTATCCGCTTTCTGTGTGTTCGGTACAGTGCAGTCCTCCGTATCAGCACACCCTTTTATAACGGTTTTACATAATGTGTCCTTCCCCATGCCCTGTCCTTGCTCTAGCCCACCCTAAGCACGACTAGCCCAGGCGAACAGGAAGGAAAACACAAAGGCCCGTGAAGGAAGGACAGGACGGGATCTCTTTTCTGAGCAAAGGGACATGCAGTGCAGTGCTGCTCACGTTGTCATCTTAGGGCCCGGCCCGCCGGGATTCCATGACGCAAAACCTTCTCTTTTGCAGGAATTTAGAAGGAAATGTTGCCCTGAGAAGCCCTGCCGCTGTCTTTACATACTGCAAATCAAGAGGGCTCTTTGCTGGTGTATCTTTAGAAGGCAGTTGTTTGATTGAAAGGAAAGACACTAATCGGAAGTAAGTGCAGCCCAAGTAATTCTCACAATTTCAGCAAAGTGTGGTGAGAAAAGTGACACCTCAGAGGTCCGTGTAGTGGTTCAGAGTTTACAGAGTAACCTTGTGTATTCTTTCTAACCCATCATTCGACTCGAACTGTGTATTTATTTATTTAAAGATTCAATATGAAGTAACATGTACTTAAGAAAATGTAGAAAATACAAGAAATTATTTTAAAAAAGCTTCTACTCCTTTAAGAGTAACGTGATTCACTTTTTGCTTTATTGCCTTACAGTGTTTTCCTGAGCATAAATTCCACTTGTTTGGCCACATTGGATTCTAATCATAACAGAGCCAATTACGAGTCCTTTTTTTTTCCACTTAGCAGTAGAAGAATCTTAAATATAAGTTAATAGCTCCATAATATTCGTTAGTTGGCTCTATCATTAAGTATGTTTTATACACCTTGTAGGTCAATCAAAATATTCCTAATACGAGAGGTTGCCTGTTATTGCACTCTGCCTTTGTCTTTCTTCCATAAAGCAGAGACAATTTTTGATTTTTAAAAAGGGATTTAGAGCCTGGTGGTGGGTATTAAGGAGGCACATACTGCATGGAGCACTGGGTGTGCTGCATAGACAATGAATCTTGGAACACTGAAAAGAAATTTAAAAAAATAGGGGGATTTAGAAATACTTTAACAGGTGGAAAAGAACTTCTACTTTAAACTGGCATCTGGCTAGTTTTTCCCCAAACTGTTCTTCTAAATTTCCACTAAAATATTAGTCCGGCTGCTCAGAGAAAGAGAAGAGGCTGACAGACCGAGTAACTTCTTCCAGAACCTGTCAGCGTCCCGTGGGCTGTGAGCCCGTGGCGGGGCCGCGCGGGTGCCCACCGCAAAGCCCCGGAAGGAAGCCTGCGCGGAGGAGACCGGGCGGTCCCTCAGGAGCTCCCCAGCACCCGGGACGGTCCGTCCGGCCGTGCGAGCCACGGCAGCTGGGAAGTAGGAACAGGAAAGCCGAAGGTTTGCAGAGCCGAGAGAGAGGCTGTTACTGCTGGTTTTATTCATCTGAGAAATTAGAATGAGGAATTGTTTTAGAAACTCCGATTCTAGGCCTTTGGGAGAACTTCCCATTGGAGTTCCCATAAAGCCTGAATAAACTAAACAAATATACTTGTTATTCAGTCGCAGGCGTCGACGTATGCCAGGCAAATCCTTGTATAATTTTGACACAGGCGAACGTTTTAAAGAAATGACAAAGCCATGTTTGCTGTTCCGTATTACAAAGCACCATTTTCGTAAGAAAGTTTAAAAATAAAAATCTGTACAAAGTATGCGCTTCTAGGTGTGCCGGCTTCCGTGGGGGGGGCATTTGCACACGCGTGTGTACGTGTGTGTGCGTTTGCACGTACGCGTGATGCGCTGTGCGCGTGACTGGCTCTGGGGGGAGCCGGGGCTTCGCGCGGGTGTGGAACGAGTTCACGGGAAGCGCGAGCGGCGGCGACGGGCCTGCGCGCAGGCGCGGTCCGACTTGGAACTCGAGAGAAGACCCGGGTCCCTAAGTGCCTCCTCTGACGCTTCTCACCAGATTTTACTGTCGAGACGTCCGAGCCTACGACATTTTATTCGGAGAAACGCCGCGGCCGGCGCAAGCGGACGACCTCTATGAGATTCTGGATTCCTTCGCCGCGAAGTACGAGCGCGACGGGCAACGAGCCAACGCCAGGAGAGCCGCGCAGGAGCGGAGGAGGCCCGCGGTGCGTGTCCCGTGTCCCCGCGGTGGTGTCCCCGCGGTGCGTGTCCCCGCGGTCCCGTGTCCCCGCGGTCCCGTGTCCCCGCGGTGGTGTCCCCGCGGTACGTGTCTCCGCGGTCCCGTGTCCCCGCGGTGGTGTCCCCGCGGTCCCGTGTCCCCGCGGTCCCGTGTCCCCGCGGTACGTGTCTCCGCGGTCCCGTGTCCCCGCGGTCCCGTGTCCCCGCGGTGGTGTCCCCGCGGTACGTGTCCCCGCGGTCCCGTGTCCCCGCGGTGGTGTCCCCGTGGTGCGTGTCCCCGCAGTCCCGGGACTTCCCTCACACTTCCAGTCACATGACGTTGTCGTGGAAAAGTCGAACTCGGACACGTCTTCTCTGCCAGCTTCAGGGGAGGCGCGGTTCGTTTCCCACAGAGGCCTCCCCCGGCGTATGGCTGTGAGTGGGACACAGCGACGCCCACGGTGGCCGCCAACACTGAGGCCGCAAAGGGCAGGGGCTGTGGGCTCCGAGCCCCACAGCTGACCCCGTGGTGCAGCGCGACAGCGGACGCGCGAAGCCTCGGTTGCCCCCGCCCCCCGCCCCACGCCCCGGACCGCGTGGCTGAGGCGCCTGGATGAGGCGAGCTTCCCGTGACAGGAGAGTCACCCCGCAGCCTCTTCGCGTGGCCCCCGGCCCAGCTCCTGTGGCCCTGAGGAGTGCGCGAGCCCATTAGGGCGCTCTTCTCCGCAGGTCTACAGGGTTATTCTGCCCTTAGATGCGCCAACGTAAACAAGTATTTTACAATTATGTGCATTTTTTGGCCCCTCCCAGGCTAGAGACTTACCTCCCAAGCCGCTGCCGAGCCCCCGGCCGACACCCGCACGAGCCCCGCTGGACGCTGGCTCCCAAAGTAAATGTTTGTGCTGCGGTTCAAATACGTTATTATATATTATTGTCGAGAAATCACGCTCTGTTGGCAAACTCCAGTGTCAGGTGGAAGGACTGACGGGCGCTGACGAGAAGAATAAGGCTCGGCCTCTTGGAAATACCGAAGACAAATTCTCATGGCTGGGAGCTTCTGTTCTCATTCAGAATCTGCTTCCTCCGGTTCGCAGAGCTTCACCTGAGGCGGTTTTTCGTTTCTGTTACTTGTCACTTCTCCCAAGGGCCGTCCTCCCGCTGGTGTGAAACGCCCGGGGACGCAATAACCTGGTTTTGCGGTGTGTTCACATTCGCACTCTGAATGTCCAGTTCGCCATGTGTTCTCGGGGCTCAGGTGTCACACGGGGGCTTCAGAATGGACCAGAGTTACCCAGCACCAGGTTCTGGCCTCTGTCCCCCTTTCCCTCGCACGTTTGTAGGACGGTCACTCCCGGGGTCCTGCCTTCCAGGCGCGGAGGGTAGCAGCGCCGCGCAGCAGCAGCTAAAGGGCTGATGCTTCCCGAGACCGTGCGCTCCCACTCCGGGCTGCGCCGGGGCTTTTGCGCGCGTAGAGACGAGCCCGGCTCCGTCCGGTCTCGGGACGACTTTCAGTCCGGCGGGGGAGGGACCCGTGTGGAGACGTGGCTGCCCTCCCTGGGGGGAGACGCGTGGACGTTCCGGGAGGAGGAGCAGAAATACCGAAGCCCTTCCGAGGGCGGGAGCCGTCCCTCCTTCGCGCGCCGGGTCCGGCCTCCTTCTCCGGGGCCTGAGGGCGCTACCCCGGGTCCTGGCGAGGCCTCTCACTTGCCTGAATGGGGCCCCCGGGAAGGTGCCCGGACCCGGACCTGCTCTTCCTCCCCCGCGCCCCGCGGCGCACTCGGCACCTCCTCTCCCGGGCGGCCGCGCGCTCCTTCCCAAAGGGACGGCCTGTTTCTGACTCACGTGCGGGTGACTCGTTTGCGTTGACTCCTGTCGCCGGTGAGGAACGAGACGTGGGCACGAGCCTACTCTTGTTTTGACTCTGAGCGACTGCGTGAGATCCGACCCGTGCGTGTTTTAAAGCGCGTAATGTTTCCGAGGTGCCCTCGCGAGGAAAACAGATACCGGCGCCGCGGGGAGGTCTTACCGCTGCCCGAGCAGCGCTTCCTCGTCAGCGCGGACCCAAAACTGCTCCGCTCGCTTCGAGGAAAAACCAGAGGCCGCGTTTCTCCTGCACGTTCCTCTTCTTGCTATTTACACTGTGGCATTTAGTTCTGTTGTCCCAGGAGGGGATGCGATCACTCAGTGTAAATAACTGAGGCTGAAATACCACAGAGTGTGCCTTTTACGAGTTTTAGGGTTACGCTGAACAATTTTAGGTGTTAATTAAAAATATGCAAGTGAACACGTGCTGTTTAAAAATGAGTTTAAGAGTTAAGCAAACGAGGATGTTTGAAAGTCACTGCCTTGGGGGCTACACACTTTTTTAAAACGCAGGTAGTTTGTGATTTGCTTCTGGAAAAAAGATGTATGTGTATTATCTGCGACCCTGTAGCGCCAAGGTCAAGAGTTGCAGTTTTGACGTTTCTAACCCTACACATATCAGAGGTTTACCCTCTGCCTTATGGCGGGGGTACTTTCTGGGTTTATTCAGGCATTCCTCTGGATTTAAAGTGTGATAAAATAATGATATTTCTAGCAGTCTTAGGGATTTAAAATACCTGCTTTTATGTACGATATGCTAATAAGTCTTCTAAATGCCGCCCCCGTTTTTTTTTTTTTCCTGTTTTGCAGGTAACGGAAACAAGTCTAAGCTCTACCCTGAACTTTCCAGCTTTCAGGAGAGAGTTGGTAAATACCATATCTATATGTTAAAAATGATTCATACGCATCTTACAGTCACAAACTTTCCAACTAAATGGCAGTTCATAAAACTCGGGGATGGTACTCAGCACTCCTCTGGTTTACGTGCTCTGTTCCTGGTTGGGAGAAGCCCTTCGTTTGGAAAATGCTGTGCTTTTGCTCTCCTGGTTGCACTCGTCTGCGATAAGGAGGGCGACGGGGACCGTAGTGGCACATGCGCAGTTCCTGCGGGGGGAGGGGTGGGGGGCTGGCACCCCAGCTTGGGACCGAGCCCCTCGGACTCTCAGGGGCCCGTCTGAGGACAAACCGCAGGATCTTTTACGATCTTGTCACCATAGAATGACAAGGTTTGTTCATTGTGAATTACAACTTCATCATCATCACATCTTTTCTGGGTTTTAGCCCCGTGGATATTTTTGTGTATTTTAAGGATTTTTTTTTTTTTAATTTTTCATGTTCAGATATTTTGCTATTATTGGGAACTACTTCATAAAACTTATTAGGATTTGCTGTCTTACTTCAATTTCTTTACAAAACGTTCCTGGAGGAATTAAGCGATTATTTAGAAATGTGAATGGGACACAAAATGAGGGCAAAGGTTGTCAAATAGCCCGTTTATTTTCTCCAGTTGTCAAATAGCCCGTTTATTTTCTCCCGTCACCTTTTGTCACTGGAGTCACAGAACCCCATACTCCTGGGAAAGTAAACTACGGGGCATCACTGCTTTCATGTAAACAGACGTCAAGGTAGCTAAGTACACATTTTGCTTTTAATTTGTAAAGATATTTCAAAAATGTCTCGTAAGCACAGTTCCTTCCTCGGAAGTTGATGCTTTCCCGATGGAGTCGGGCTTCCCACTTCCCACACGCTTTCAGCCTAGCTGCCCCAGTGTGGAGCCCGCTTCCCGCCTGGCGTTGTCCCGGAAAGCTGCGTTCGCCCTGCCTGGAGGGGCTGCCTCCCGGTTTAACGGTCTGAGCCTGCTGGGCTGTGGTCTCCTGCACAGTGGGAAAACACTAAGAGGCTTTTAAAATGTAGTTTGCTCTTTTGAATGTGATTTGCAGCCAGCTCGGAGACTACTGACATTGCCAGTAATTTGACCGGCGGATACACATCCTTCAGAAGCAAAAGGGGCGAACATGTAAATGTTTATACCCAAGTAGCATACACGTCTGGAATTTTATGTAGCGGTCTTTCAGGAGACTCTGCTAGAATTAGACCTACACTTAGGTATCTTGCAGTTAAAGCGGTTCTTAAATTTGAGGTCAACAGACAAGCTGAGTTGCTGAGGGAGAGGGGGCCAGCAGGGACACTGAAGGACAAGGGACTGCGGAAGTAGAGGTGACCCCCCTTTCCACAGGGTTCTCTAAGGGCCTCAAAGGCACTGAGGGTGGTGTGAAGTTAGAAGAAGCAAACCCTGAGTGGGCTCTGGAAATAGGCTCGGACTTTGAGCACTGGCCATGCGACCACGGACAGTTCTTGGCCGGTCAGGTTTTGTTTATATATTTGAGAGTAGGGTGAATTAATTTGTACAAACAGTGGGTACTAGGATAACTTTCTCCAAATATAAGGGATGTTGAAGGAAAAAAAAATGGAAAGGAAGATTTAAAGTCTATTTTTAAAATAAAACTTAGTTTACATGATTATGGGTTTTTTTTTGTTTTGGGGGGTTTTTGTTTGTTTGTTTGTTTGTTTTTAAAGCAGCTGTCAAACCAGTTCAGTTCCTAGCAAGGACTTTCTCACATCCTGGCCAACCACTGCTGCAGAGAAAAAGCACAGGGCACAGGCCTGGGCCTCAAGTTAAACCCAACCTACCAGGATGTCCAGGCCGCCGTGGGCTTGCTCTCTGCCTGTCCCATACACACTGACCAGCTGCACTTTTGCATGGCTGTTGGGGAAAGCAGTGATTCTCCTAAGTGCATGTACTTTTGTTCTGCACCCTTTGGACACTCCAGCTATCTGGTGCTTGGGCCAGAGACGCCGCTTACTATGGCTACATGACGCAGACCACAGAGAAAGCAACTGGGAGGGACACAATGAGACCCAGTAGGCGTGGCGTCTCTAATTAGAAGCCTCAGGGCAGCTGCCGGTCAATGGGGCCTGTGATCTGTTTCAGTTGTGGGCCTGACCTGGGAGAGAAGAGTAACCTGTGTTTGAATTCAAGTTGGATATGATGATGAAAATGGCTAATCGCTTCAAAGAGCCTCCGTATTTCTTGAACACAAGAATAGGAAACTAGAAGGCATGTGTCAGTCAGAAGGGAAGGCATCTGTGAATGCCAGATATTTTCATCAGCAGTGGGGCCAGTTTCCGTGGTCCCTGGGGGGCTCTCCCTTTCTGGAAGGTCATACCCCCCTCCCGGAAGAAAAAGGCCCACTTTTTTTTTTTTTTTTTAATAAGCTATTTTGTGGGCATTAAACTTTTCCTTATGGGAAGTATCCCTAATATTTACAGTAAAGGAGAACTTTAAGTCATTTTGCTGGAAGAAACAGCAGTAGGGCCTGGCTTGTGGGGCCTTCATTTGGGCTGGGCTCCCTGCCTCGTGTTCTTGTGTGTGGATTTTCCCCGAAACGGCTTCAGCTTCTGAGTCTTCTTGGGCTCACCCCCGGCTGCCTGTCTTGCCCATATTCTCCCCTCGCTCTACCAGCCACGATCTGCCTCATCTCTGCTCAGAGTTTGGGTGGGGGAAGCCCCTCAGTGCCACCATCTTCTCTCAAAACCACCCGCTCTGCCCTCGTACCGCGTTCCCATCAGTACTTTGTCCTTCGTCCATCTGGAAAGTACAGCTCAGAGATAGTCGGGGACCCCGTCTGCTTCCCTTGGTTCCTGAAGCTCTTCTTCCTGTAATTACTCATCACAGGGTATGCTCCTCCCACTGGTGGGAACCAGCTCAGTGGTCATTGGTCACCCAGGACCTTCATCTGACATTCTTACGACCTGTAGAGTCTGGGTGACTCGGTGATGCACAGAAGTACACTACTTCCCCGGGGAAACTGGCCGTGCTCGGCCGGACTGATGTTCCCTGTGCTGCCCATAATCTAACACCCATGTGGCTGCAGAGGGCCTTGGGGCAGGAGGTCCGTGGTGACCATGAGTCCCCGGGGATGGACTTCGGAGACTCAGATCTCCGCTCCCTGGACAGATGGCCTCCCACTTCCACTTGAGTGTGATGCTCTGTGAAGTGGGGGTGACAGCAGCAGCCACTCGCCGGAGATGCGGGACGGGCGAGAGCAGATCAGGCTGCACCTGTCACCGTTGCCCTCGTCCCTTCAGATGTCTTACATTGTGCATAGTGCGACACATGTGGTGATGACTTCCAGAACATTCCCTGATGCTCACTGGGGCTCGTCCAGGTTGTGCTTTGTGTCATCTGAGACGTCTGGGAGACAGGAGAGGAGGAGTTTCTTGAGGGTGTCGTTGACTGGGGTTGAAGAGGTTGAGGTTCGTATGTGGGTGGTGAGTAAACTGATGAGATGATGCTGTTCAGAACGATGTTCCCTCTCACACCAGCTTGCATTCCTCTGGTTTAATGACAGAGAGGCCTGTTGTGAGGACTGGCTGGGTGTCCCACTGCGCTTGTCACACACAGAGGAACGAGGGCTCGTTAGTGTGTGTTGGCTGTCACTCCGCTGGTTTCGATGATACCCAGATTGCATCAGAATTCTTCTTTTCGGTGACGCACGTTTGCCCTTCTTCCTTAAAATGGACAGACTGCAAGTACACATAGTATAAATTATAAAAGCGGGCAGAGCATGTCTGTGGTAGAAAAAATAACGACCCCCGGAGTCTCTGTGATGTGACCCTGGGTTGCTGCTGGGGTTGTTTCCGCAGGACTCGGACAACTCCGGGGCAACGCTCTCGCGGGAAGGACTGTCGCACACCGTGTGTGGGTGACGCACGGCGAGTCTCGCTCAGCGCGGTGTAATTCAAGTCTTGACTTTTTATTTCTTACCAACAAGCCAAATTTGGTTTAGCTTTTATTATTATAGTATTATCGGGTTAAATAAGTAACTGAGTTTCAGAATTTGGTTATTTATGTTTTCAGTGTGTCTGTACTAAGACGCATTTAACAATCATCTAGTTGCCTAATATGCACACAAGCATGAATGAACAGGAAGTATCTGTTTCTCTATATTTCTTATGCTGGTGCACAGTTCGTAAAGTTACTGTTTTTAACTCCTCAGTTCTCAAAGTATTTTCTTCCTAACACAATACAAACAATTCTACACATTGTGTTGAAACTCTTATTAAGGGGCGTCTGGGTGGCTCAGTGGGTTGAGCCTCTGCCTTCAGCTCAGGTCATGATCCCAGGGTCCTGGGATCGAGCCCCACATCGGGCTCTCTGCTCGGCGGGGAGCCTCCTTCCCCCTCCCTCTCTGCCTACTTGTGATCTCTGTCTGTCAAATAAATAAAATCCTGAAAAAGAGAGAGAGAGAAACTCTGATTAAGCATATGCAGACCTTCTTCTTGCGCCAGTTTGAGTTTTGTCTCTGTTCTGACAGTGTAGAGCGAGCAGCCGTGAAGCCTGTGGGGAAAGCGCTCATGAACCGGCAAAATGCCTCGGAGCCGCGGTTCCTGTTCTGTTCTCTTTAACATTTTGTTTTATTTTTTAGCACGATACGTGTTCTCTTCAATCCCCGTCCTACCCCCTGCCCCTCTGGAAACCGCAGTTCTCTAGAGTTAAGAATTGGGGTCTGTTTCTCAGTTTCTGTGTGTTTCTCTCTTTTTTCTTCCTTTGCACATTTGTTTTGTTTCTTAAATTCCACATACGAGTGAGCTCATATGATATTTGTCTTTCTCTGACTGACTTATTTCCCTTAGCGTAACACCGTCTAGTTCCATCCTGGAGCATGGTTTTTCAATTAAATCCTGTATGATACAATCGTGACCATAAATGTGTTTTTCTCTAACAGCTACAATTCATGGAAGCCATAATGACCATTCGATTAAAAGGGGGAAAATGTAAATACAGTTGACCTTTGAACAATGTGGGGCGTGGCATTTGGGGGCACCAAACCCCAAGCAGCTGAAAATCCACATATCACTTTTGATTCTGTGTCCTGGCTCCTGGGATCGAGTCCCAGTTCCTGCTCTGCGGGAAGTCTGCTTCTCTCTCTGCCTCTGCCAGTGCTCTCTTGTGCTCTCTGTCAAGTAAATAATTTAAAAAAAAAAAAAGGAAAGGAGGAGAAAATACATTTACATTATCATACTGTCAATCACAAAATAAAATCCATGTGTAAGTGCACACCTGTGTTGTTTAAGGGTTGGCTTGTGGTGTTGTCTTAGAGATCGTTCAGAAGTCCAACAATTACAACCACAAATATTTGCTAAATGCATAGTCAAGTATATAATAATGTGCAGTTTGACTTGTGTGGATTTAGGAAGTATTATTACCAAACACTTGCTCTTTTTGAAGAAGAAAAACACGAGTTTAATAATAGGATGAAAATCTCACAGACCCCATGTGCGAAGGCATCAGGGTATCAAGCACAGAAGTTAATTGACATCTCCGCCCCAGCCCCTTCCCAGGCTTTCCCGTCAGACGCGCGTAGTCCAAGTACCTCTGCTTGTTTGTTCCAGGCCTGCCCGAGCCCTTGGAGGTGACGGCGCTGTATTCCTTCGAGGGACAACAGCCCGGGGACTTGAATTTTCAAGCCGGAGACAGAATCACAGTCATATCAAAAACAGACTCGCAGTTCGATTGGTGGGAGGGAAAGCTTCGAGGTCAAACTGGCATTTTTCCAGCCAACTATGTTGCCGTGAATTAAAGGTGATATTATTTTCTTCTTTGAGAATTATACAACATTTACTTCTCCATGGACAGGATTTACTCTGCAGTTAGGCAGTGTTTAATGTAAGTTTTTAAAATACTGCTCTTTTTCTTAAACTTTTATCAAATATGTAAAAGGTTTTTTCTCTATAAATGTTTAACTTACATACGTTTAAATACTTCATACTAATTTCATCACACATCCTATTTAATAGTTAACATGCTCCAATTCACACGGTCACAGTCCTTCTGTGTTCCTTTTCAAGCATCGCTAAGCCCCCACGTGGCTCCGTATATGGTAATTGCTTATTCTAATTGAGGATCTTAAGGGCAGGGTGTGAACACCGACTCATGTATTTCTATTTGCAAAGTGCCTAGAGAAGGAATCTGCTTAAGGAAGGTACTTAGTAATGCTAGTTAGAGCTGCAAGCTGGAGTATGACTCCTTCACGATGGTCTTTATTGCCTAAAAAACCACCTCTGTGTGTGGGTAGCAGAGACATGCTGTTGCGAATTTCAGCTGCTCTGCCTTGAACAAAGGTGACATTGACTTTTCTTCTGCGTGAGGTTATGTTTATTCATTTCTAGTAGGAGAATCAACTTATGTTAACATGGTGTAGTTGTGCCCAAATAAATGTTCTTTAAATGATAAGTTAATGTCTTGTTTTTCGTACTTTCTCTGTGTAAAGTAAGAGGCCCTGTGGTTGGCCTGAAGGTTAAAACCCAGCACGGTGATTGGCTGCCTGACTTGTTTTCTTTTTGGGTTTACTAATACATGCTTGACAAATACACTGGTATTTATTTAATATTATTATTAGTAGTAGTGGTAGTTAAAGACCACAATGTGATGGTTTGATGTACAGACACACTGTGGAAGGTCCCACCGAGTTAATTAACCCATCATCATTTCAATTATCTGATGCATTTATTTATTTATTTTTTGGTGAGAACAGTGATGTCTCCTCTCAGCGGATCTCAGTTATCTAATACAACATTACCGAACTTAGTCACCATGCTGGACGCTCGACCTGGAACTTGTTCCTCTTATGCCTGGAAATTTGTAGCCTTCGACCAGTATGTTCAGTTCCCCCGCCTCCCAGCCTGCGGTGACCCCCACCCCACTAGTCTCTGCTTCTGTGAGCTTGGGCTTTTGTAGAATCCCGTGTAATTGAGATCATATAATGTTTTGTCTTGTACTGACTTGTTTCACTTAGGGTAATGCCCTCAGAGTCCATCCATATTTCCTCAAACTCCAGGATTTCCATATATATATATATATATATATATATATATATATATATATATAAAACCTCACATTTTCTTTATCCATTCATCTGTTAACGGACACTGGGGCTTTCTACACACAATAGCTTGTCATCTGCAAATGGAGGTAACTGTGCTTGTCCCTTCCCCATGTGGCCATTGGTCATTCCCCAGCCGGAAGTCTGTGTCTCTCACTCCGCCTCGCCCCCCGCTTTGTTTCCTTGCCTGACTGTCCTCACGGGACTCCCAGCACCGACTGTCCTCACGGGACTCCCAGCACCGAGTTGAACAGAAGGGGCAAGGCTGAGCACCCTCGTTCGTACCGATCCCGGGGACACGCTTCCACGTTCTCCCTGTGGAGTGATGACGGCAGCGGACGGGTCCCGTGTGCTCCTCGTTTAATCTCCACATACGGACGGATCTTCCAGTTTTTTCTTGTAATGGATTTCTACTGTTGTACCACTGTGTTCAGAAAGGATGTCTGATGGGATTTCGGCCTCATCAAATGTATCAGGACGTGGTTCGTGGGCTGGTCTGTCCTGGAGAATGTTGCCTGCGTGTCCTGCCGCCGCAGCACGGAATGTTTGTGGGTCCGGCTGCTCTGACAAGTAGCCCAAGTCCAAGTCCTCATGATTTTCTGTCTGGATGATGCATTCTGTGGCATGCGGGGGTTGCCGGCCCCCACCCCTCCGCTCCCCTCTCCGGGCCTGCACTGCGGTCTCTCTCTCCCTTCAGGTCCGCCAGCCTCGGCCGTGTGCAGTCAGGGTGCTCTGGTGTTTGTGTGTCGTCGCAGCTGTTCCCTCGGCTCGGTCAGTCGACCCCGTTATCATTACGTAGTGACCTTCGTCTCGTTGCAGTTTTTGGCCTAAAGTCTATGCTGTGTGACATAAGTATAGGGACCCCTGGCTTTTTAGGGCTCCAATCCCGCACTCTTGGTCTGAGTGTGTCCTCACCTCTGAAGTGAAACTCACTTGAGTCTTTTAAAGTCCCCTCAGTCCCGGTAAGTCTTCTGATGGTGACTTCAGTCCGTTTACCTTTGAAGTAATTTTGGAATGTCGCGGACTTACTATTAACACTTTGTTCATTGTTTTCTGACTGTTGTGTAGTTCTTCTGTTTCGCTTCTCTTGCCTTCCCCTTTATGATGGTTTTCCGTCAGGGTCAGTAGGCTTTCATGCCGTTCTCTTTGTTTTTGTGCATTTTCTGTGGGTTTTTGCTTGTGGTTCCCGTGAGACTTACACAAAACATCTTAGAGCTACCGCTGTGCGCTTCACACTGACAACAGCTGTGATGCACATAAAAGCTTTTTTAAACCCTCATTTTCTCCTTGATGTCACAATTTATATTTTTTTACAATTATATCCATTAAAACTATTGTATAGTTACTAATACTTCTTAAAATTTTTTAAAATTATTTATTTAACAGAGAGAGACACACACACAGAGAGAGAGAGCACAAGCAGGGAGCGTGGCAGAGGGAGAAGAAGGCTTCCCGCCGGGCAGGGAGCAGACATGGGGCTCGATCCCAGAACCCTGGGATCATGACCTGAGCTGAAGGCAGACGCTTATCAACTGAGTCCCCCAGGGGCCCCAATACTTTTCTTTTACTATTTATACTAGAGTTTTGTGATTTTCCCATCATCATTACAGTATCAGAATATTCTGAATTTAACTACATCGTGACCTTCACCAGCGAGTTGTGTTCTTTCTTACTAGCGAGAGCCCTTTCCTTTCAGCGGGAGAATCCCTCTAGCATTTCCTGTTAGGCTGTTTTTGTGGTGAGGAATTCCTTCAGCTTGGTTTGTCTGGAAAGCCGTTCTCTCCTCTTCAGTTCCGAAGGACGACTCGGACAGAGGATTCCTGGTTGGCAGGTGTTTTCTGCTTTTCGGGTTTTGTTTTTTGTTTCCGTGTCAGCACCTTGAATACGTCACCTTGAGAAGGACCTTCCAGCCTAACAGGTTTCTGCTGGAAGATCCGATGATCGTCTTATGGGGCTTCCCTTCTACATAACAAGTTGCTTTTCTCTTACTGCTTTTGAGATTCTGTCCCTGTCTTTGATCTCCGGCAGTTTGAAGGGAAAAGTCTCCCAGTGCCTTCACTGCTTCTGCTTGGGAACTCTCCTGAGGTCTGCTGCTTTCCTCAGGGGAGGGACGTTTTCAGCCGTTACTTGTTTGAATAAGCCTCCTGCCCCTTTCCCTCTCTCTCCTTCTGGGACCCTCGATGCATCTGTCTGCTCACAGAGGTCCCTCGTCTGTCTTCACGCCTTTTCATTCTTTTTCTCTCCACTCGTCTGACTGGATGGATCCCACTGCCCTGCCCTCGAATTTGCTGGTTCTCCCTTCTGCCCCTTGTACTGGGCTATTAAACCCCTCATTGAATTTCTCAGTTCAAGTATTGTGTTCTTTGATGAGGAGAACAAAGGTAAAAGAATTGTAGATAAAAATAACTTTCCTTACAACTCCCAGCGCATCCACAAATACTTGAGAGAAGCAGAGCATGATAATCCTCAAAGATTTCACCACGGTAATGCTTTGCCAGAGGCAAAAAGCAACCTTAGCTGGGTAAGAGCCTTAACTCTAGGATCCCGGAAGTCCTCTTTAACATATGAAAATCCTTCTGAAAACTTCCTTCGTCTCTACCCCACCAACTTAAAACTGTGTCATCAACCACTCTTTGCAATCCCGGGGTAGCTCTTCCTGCCCCGGGACCTATCCTTGTGCTTTAATAAAAACACCTTTTTGTACCGAAAATGTCTCCAGAATTCTTTCTTAACCATTCACTCCTGGACCCCACATTGCATCATTCTTCAGTTCTGTGATTTCTGTCTTGTACTTGTTCATGCTTTCTGTCTCTTTATCTAACTTCCCACTTCGTCCATTGTCTCCCGCCGTCCGTGAGCATCTCCGTGACTGTTACGTTGCCCTTCCTGGCGGGTACATCACAGATCGCCACTTTACCAAGTTCCGTTTCTGAGATTCGTTGTGTTCTTTTCTCTGTACGATGCTCCCCGCATGCTTCTTCCTCTTCCGTGCACCTGCTGTTTCCTGTTTGTCCCGTCCCCGTGGTCTCCTGTAGCAGCTCAACCGTGTTACTGAGCTCCAGGCTGCCTCTCAAAACCCTGTGGTTGTCCAAACGACCTCCTTTGTTCTCAGTGGCTTCCGGGGGTTGAAGATGTGCCAATGACCACCATGTCCAGAAGGGCAGGTCCTGGTCAGCACCCAGACGCAGGCTGATGGGAAGCTGGGCCCTCAGGCAGCTCTGAGAAAGCAAGTAGTTTGGCTCTTTCTGGGGAGAACCTGGGAGATAAACATTCCCACCCGCTCCGTGGGCGCTGAGCCTGGGTTGGCGTGGGGTGCTGGGGGTGCCGTTCGCTGCAGTGCTTGGGCCTCGTCAACGTGAGCCCTGCTGCCCGAGGTCAGCGGTCTGGGGTCCACGCTTCGAATGGCAGCTTTAAAAGATGGGGGTCTGATGCGGGTCCGGTCTTCCAAAGAGCTGCGTGGTTTCGCTGCTGGAATAAGCCAGAGGGAGGAAGCAGGTAAGTGTCTGCCACCTCCTCAGGGCCCCAGCGGGGTCACAGCCAGCGCCCCGATGGTGCTCACTGGGGGCTGGACCATCAGGCAGCAGCTCGTGAAGGACGCAGTCCCGCCTGCTCCAGGAAAGGGGCACATGGGACAGAGAACATGGGAAGTGGGTGTTTCTCCTGCCCCTCGGAGCCGAGCCCAGGGGGTGGGGGGAGGT